TAGAACTTATGAAGAATTTATAAACCATTGTAAATAATTATTTTAAGGAATGAAAAATCAATATCCTTAAGTTTTCCTTTCTGGAGGACTGGTACCTCGAATACCAGATTTCTGACCCCCACCTCCTATCTTCAAGTCAGCTTCCAAAATTAGATTAGACTGTGCACATTTTGACGAGTCAAACGCATTGGATTGGATATTTGCGATAACTCATTTTTTCGAGTACTACCAAACTCCAGAATCAGAACGATTGCAAATCTTTTCCTTCTACCTGGACAGTCCGGCTCTCAGCTGGTTCTAGTGGATGGAACGTAACAACATGCTTCGATCTTGGAAAGAATTTTTGCAATCTTTAGAAACTCGTTTTGCCCCATTTGCCCCATTACGCTTTCAAAACGTCAAAGCCCATCTCTACAAGCTATCTCAAACTGGCTTGGTGCTTCAATATTTGAACGAATTTGAGGGTCTTGCTAATCACGTCACTGACATGCCTCCATCATTTTTGCTCGAGTGCTTTATTTTCAGGTTTTGTTCAGATATTCAACGCAAAGTGCTCGCATTTTAGCCAGTATCATTTTCTGAAGCAGCAGAGTTGACCAAGCTTCACGAAGACAAATTTAATTCAATGGTGCCCTCCAAGCGAAGTCATTCAATACCAGTGAATCAACCTTCCCCGGCACCTTATCGCCCTGCTCTGCTCCCCACACCGGTAACACCAAAAATCCCATTCAAACGCTTTTCTGCTTCAGAGATGCAGGCTCACCATGATAGAGGTCTCTACTATAATTGCAATAAGAAATACAATCAAGGTCACCGTTGTAAGTCTCACTTCTTCCTTCTCGTGCACAATGATGATGAGATCACTACCCTGGAACTTTCGATTGAAGACTCTCCTGCTTCTGACACTTCTGATTCTGCTCAGCTAAGCTTTAATGCCTTGTCAGGTCATTTCAACCTGCAAATCTTTCGAATTAAGGGGCAAATTCTGGACCATCCAATCCCGGTTCTTCTCGATAGCAGGAGCTCTCATAACTTCCTTCAATCCAAACAAGCTCATGAATTGGGCCTTCCTTGCAGTCCCACAAAACCTCTCTCAGTCATGGTTGGGAATGGAGATGCGTTGACTTGCTCTCAGCAAGTGGAGTATTTGGGACACGTGGTTAGTGCTGGGTCTGTTGGACCTGATCATTCCAAAATTGAGGCAATGATGAATTGGCCACCACCCACTTCTATCAAGGCATTGAAAGGATTTTTGGGCTTAACAGGATTTTATCAAAAATTCATTAGTGATTATGCTTCTTTGGCATCTTCTCTCACGGATTTGCTTCGCAAAGATGCCTTTCATTGGTCCCTGGAAGCACAAACAGCATTTGAGAAACTTAAAGAGACTATGTCAACAGCCCTGGTACTTGCTCTTCCCAATTTTTCAAAGCCTTTTGTGGTCCAATCGGATGCATCTAGCACAGTCATGGGGCTATCCTTTCTTAAGATCAACATCCAATAGCATTTTTCAGCAAAAAGTTCTGCTTCCGGATGATGCAAGCTTCTACATATTTGCTAAAATTACATGCAATCACAACTGCCATCAAGAAGTGGCATCAATACCTTCTGGGACATTTCTTCATTATTCAGACAGATCACAAACCCCTCAAAGATCTCTTGACTCAAACAGTGCAGACTCCGGAACAACAATTTACATGAGCAAACTCATTGGCTACAATTATACAATCCAATATTGTTCCGGACATTCAAATGTAGCTGCGGATGCACTATCCCGCATCACTAAGGAGGTTGCTGCTGGTTAGCATTATGTTCTCACTGTTCCTTATTTCCAATTTCTGGAGGAATTACGTTCAACTCTACAACTTGATCCAATTTTCTCCAAACTTCAACAAGATATTAGCCAAGATACAACATCATTTTCATATTACAAAATTCACGATGGATTGGTTTTCTATAAAGAAAAGATTTGGCTGCCAGCTACTTCACCTTTTCGTGAGACCCTTATGACTGAATTTCATTCCACACCCTTGGGGGGGGGCACTTAGGACTGGTCCAGACGCTTCACTGTTTACAAGAGAATTTCTTCTGGCCCTCAATGACCAAATATGTGAAGACCTTCATATGCAAATGCGTTATTTGTCAACAAATTAAATATGTATCTCAGAAACTTGCTGGTCTACTTCAACCAATTCCTCCACCAACTCGTGTTTGGGAAGATTTGGCCATGGATTTCATCATTGGCCTTCCCCATCTCGTTGTTATACAGCGATTTATGTTGTTGTAGATCGTTTCTCCAAGGCTGGCTATTTTGCACCCCTTCCCACTCAATTTTCAGCTTATCAAGTGACTCACATCTTCCTTACTTTGGTTGGCAAACTCCATAGCATGCCCAAAAGCATAATTTCTGACCGTGATCCTTTATTTTTTAGCAAATTTTGGCAAGAGTTGTTCAAAGCAAGTGGCACACAACTTTGCATATCTTCAGCTTACCACCTGAAGTCTGATGGACAATCTGAGGTGCTCAATCGTACTCTAGAGCAATATTTACAGGTTTATTGTCATGATCAAACTTCACAGCGAAGTTAGTACATTCCTTGGGCTGAGTGGTGTTATAATACTGCTATTCATTCAACTACTGGATACACCCCATTTGAGATTGTTTACAGTCATTCCCCTCCATCTTTACCAGGATACTTGTTAGGCCAATCTAATGTGGAAGTTGTCAATCATATGCTTAGTTCACGTGGTCTTGACTAAATTACGTCGTAATTTGCACAAAGCTCAGGAATGCATGAAGTTGTTGGCGGATGCTCATCGTCGAGATGTCCAATTTGATGTGAACACTTGGGTCTATGTCAAACTTCAACCATGTCGTCAAACTTCAGTTGCTGGAAGGACCCCTCAGAAACTCGCCAATCGTTATTTTGATCCCTTTCAAATCCTTAGCCGTATAGGCCAAGTGGCATACCATTTGGCACTGCTCGCCACCTCCAAAATTCATCCTATCTTTCACTGTTCTATCTTGAAGCCACATGTTGGTTCCCCACCTCCAAAGACAAGAACACTTCCTACGGACACTCATAATAATGGTCCTTTGCTCATTCCATTAGTCATCTTGGACCATTGTGAGAACACTTTAATTGAACCTCCGCAAATAGAAGTTCTGGTGCAGTGGCAGGGCCTATCGTCAGAGGAAGCTTGGGAAACATGGGCTGATATAAAACAAGCTTTCAACCTTGAGGACAAGGTTTTACTCCATGGGGTGAGGAATGATACAGATGATATAGTTGGGCCATTAGATCAGGATAAGAGTGGACCAAGTGAAGAGAACAACCCAAATGCAAGGCCCAAAAGAAATATTACAAGACCAGCAGATTGAAATGAATATGTTCACTGAGAGAAGAGTTTATTATATCTTATTTTGTTATTTTAAAAAACTATATTTGTCTTGTTATGAGATTACTTGTAGGGGAATCTTTTTTGTTAGGATTTTATGTGACTTTTCTGCAGAAGTCCGTTAGAGCTTATGAAGAATTTATAAACCATTGTAAGGAATTGAGGAATGAAAAATCAATATCCTTAAGTTTCCCTTTCTGGAGGACTGGTACCTCAAATACCAAATTTCTGCTATCATTTGTTCATCAAAGGAGAGGAAATGATCATTTGTTGAAATGGGTCTAGACAAATTGTTCTTGGATAAGTTCAAGAAGCCTAGATTATCCATGGTGGACATGATCCTCGGGATAGGACCAAATAGGTGGTTATTGGAAAAGTTAATGGATTCTAGTGACTTCATTTTCTGTATATTGCTTGGGATTTGATAAATTCAACCCAATCAATCTAGAAAGAAAGGTTAAGTCGTCAAGGATTGATCCAATGAAATTGTTATTAGACAAATCTATATTTACCAATTGGTACAATTTTTTTGTGTAATCTTCATATCCCTTTAAGACTAGTTTGAGACCCTCCTTTTCCCAATCAACATTGATTGTCTCCACTGTTACACAGGGTGCCATTGCAATCTCATATAGTGATGTGGTTGAAAGCTTCACCATACCCTTGAGATGACCAAAGCAAGGAGGGATTGAACCTGAGAAATTATTATCAACAAGGTCTAGAATTTTCAAAGTACTATTTTAATAATATATTATTTTAATTGTATTTAAAATACTACTTTAATAATATCTCATTTGGATTATAATTATTTGGCTGATGATACTTGAAATTTGAATTTGAATTTATTTTTATCAAATTAAAACTCAATTAATTTATTAATTATTAATCAATTGATAATTTTAAATGAAAAATAATTTAATAAGACACAAAATGAGATTGCAAGTGTGTTCTAATTGTTACAAATATTATTTTTAAAAATATATTTAATTTTTAATATATTTTTATCAGTCCAAATATTATATTTTATAAAATTATAAATAAAAAACTAAAGTAATTATGTTTTTTTTTTGTTTTTAACATTTTATCAAAAAACATAGTTAACTTTTTCAATAATTTGTTTTTGTTTTAACATTCCATCCAACCAAAAACATTTATAAAATTTTTCAATTAATTTTTTAAAATATAATATATAATTAATATTTTTTATTTTTAAAATTTTATAATTATCAAATAGTTTATAAAAAATTACATGTAATCGATTTTAATAAATCTTTTAAATACTTTTTAAAAAATAATTATAAATTAAATTTATACATAATAAGACTTAATATAAATATAAATATGTAAAATATTAAATAATATTTTTAATAATTTTTACATAGATAGATTTTTTGTTTAAAGTTAACAAATATTTAAATAAATTAATAAATAAAAGTAAAATTTTATTAATTAAATTATTATTTTACTTATTAATTCATTATGTAATATCAATATATTTTTTATGTTATATTAATACTGCAGTGCTGTTAATTTTACCTATATTTGAAGAGGAGTGCAATTAAGTATGCATATAAAATATATTTTTCACATCGAAACGAAGCGTATCAAGTTGGTCTGTGACAATATTGGTTCCAAGTTCTTGATCTTGTTCCTCCGTCTCAAAATTTAGGGTTCACAAAGTTCCACCTTCTCTTTAATTTTTCTCATTCGCCCACCATCATCAATGCGCTTTTTGGACTGATTTTTCTCTGTGGCGCATCGCAATTCTTCACCTGTTTCGTTTTGGTATCACGCGAAACCCAATCAGACAGTGTGACCCAGTAAGTTCCCCGTTTCCAACGTCGAATTCAATAGCCAACGCCACACAGAATTCTAAGTGTTCCGCCTCAGAATTTTGAAAAATGTCAGAAAACAAAAAATTGATGTCCTTGACCCTTTCTGAACACTTCGAATTTCGCTGCACTCCGAAAATTTGAAGATTAATCATGCTTGTTCATGCATAGAGTTTTAGCAGGTTTTATTATCTAGTTGATACTTCATTCATTATTTCATGTAGGTATTGGAACGATGGCGGAAGATCTGGTGCTGGATACTGCAATCAGAGATTGGGTGCTGATCCCTCTCTCTGTAGTTATGGTTCTCATCGGTGTGCTTCGCTATTTTGTTTCTAAGCTCATGCGTTCTTCCCAAACTCCTGATGCTAAAATTATTAAGGAGGGGTATGCCCCAACATTTATTCAATAACTATGCAGATACTTTTGTTTTGGTCCTTTTTTGGTTCTTAATAGAGGAATGTTTTTGTATATTGATCCAGGCAAGTGATCGTTAGAGCTCGTAATTTACGTGCTGGAGCAAATTTTATTCCTTCAAAGGCTTTTCGTGCCCGCAAAATTTACTTTTGTAACGAGGTATGTTTGCTTAGAGTGTTTTCTAGTTTTGTAGAAAGTTTTTAGTTTAAGTGTATGGTTCTTTATTGGGAAAAGTTGAAGTTTCATTTTGCTGTTTGTTGTGGGTGATGACTTATGTTGCGGGCAATTTGTTCAGTCATATGCTTTATGAAGCTTCCTGCCTTGGACTTGTATGCTTTTTTGTGCTCAATCCTGGTTTTGCCGTATACTTTACTAGATAGTGATGAATAAATTTCTAACTGTACCTTTTTAAATTGGCTCTAGAACTTGTTAGAAATTAATAACTCTGTCATGAGATTTGTTCAGTATCTTAAATGATCATATGCCTAACCAATTCAACAGTAAACTTAGTTTTTCTCTTTCCATTGAAGGAAAACGGTCTGTTGTTTGTTCCAAAGGGCCAAGCCCAGAATCCGCAAGCACAGATGTTCTCTGATCCGAACATGGCCATGGATATGATGAAGAAAAACCTTTCAATGATCATTCCTCAGGTGTCAAAAATGCAGTTTTGTTGTGCTCAGGCTTTTGATTTTTGGACCATACTCAATACTAGCACTTTTTCCTATAATGAGGAGATGCGTCATTAGCTTTTACTTATGTTGTTTCTGATTTTTGGACAGACTCTCACTTTTGCGTGGGTGAACTTTTTCTTTTCTGGATTTGTAGCAGGTAATTTCTTATACTTCGCCCTGTTGTTTCTTACTGTTTGATTTAAAATTAGTGAAATAAAACATGAAGTGGGCCAGCCAGTTTGATCGGTGGACTGATGAACTGGCCAAGTGACTGGTCCAGTCAGCAAAACAAATCAGTACTTATTGGAAAGATCCTGTGTAACTCAGTCAGTTTTCCTAAGATCCTAAGAACTGGTTATTGAATTATATTAGACTTGGATTTGAAAAAAAAAATTCTTCAGAGGAAAGCAGATGAAGAAAACCCTTCTCTGGTTAAAGCTGAGGAACTTGCGCTTCCATTTGCAAAGATGTAATTCTATTGTCCACTGGAAGTGGTGGCGTGTAAATGCAGTTGTGCAGTAGAAGCATAGGAGAGAGATAGACAGAGCTTAGGGAAAACATATAATTTTAAATATATATTAAAGAAAACAAAGCTTCAGAAGAAGCATAGACAAGAGACCATCTTGCACTGGAAAAATATTATATGCATTAAATAAAAAGCTTTGGAAGAAAGCAAACTGACATCAGTTACATGTGTGAACAAACTATTCTACTTTTTGAAGATAAGCAAAGGCATTACCAAGATGCATTGACTTGAATTGAAACCTTAATTTTTTTATTAAGTTATTTTGATCATATTTAGTTTTATCAAATGTTATTTTTTATTTTATATATCCAGTTCAACTGCTTGAACCAGCTTTTCTGATAATAATTACAGTTCTTGTATCTTGTATAAGCACATCCATGATTTGACTTATGATAGTTTTCTGTTCAGCATAGCCTTCAATTTATTACTTTTATTATTTACCTCTTGAAAATGTTTAAAACTTTCCTGCAGCCAAGATACCCTTTCCGCTGACACAAAGGTTTAGGTCAATGTTGCAGAATGGAATAGACCTTAGCACAGTAGATGTTAGCTATGTCAGCAGTCGCTCTTGGTAATCTTCTTTTTAATGGATATTTGCCTGTTTCGCTCTTACTCTGGTTTAATTGTCGAAAGACTGTATTTCAGGTACTTCCTCAATCTGTTTGGACTGAGAGGATTGTTTAGCCTCATTTTGGGTGAAGAAAATGGTTAGTTATGACTTGAAAGCTGAATACTTATAATTAACTGATCAATTTCATGAATGACTTTTTAATTTCATCAATATGAATATTTACTAGTTTTTTCTGTTATAGGCAGGATTTGGATTCAACACTAATCAGAAGTTGTGATATGTGCTGTTTTTTATGCAGCTGTAGATGATACACAGCGTATGATGCAAATGGGTGGATTTGGATTTGATCCTTCAAAGGTACAAATATGAGTGACTTACTCTAGATTTTTCTCAAATCTGAAGTTCATGTGATTCCTTGTCCACCAAACCCCCCCGCCCCCCCCCCCCCCCAAAAAAAAAAAAAATACCCTAAATTTTGTCTATACCACAAGGTAAAATGAATGAGGTACTGCAATGTAAATGATTTTTCAACAAGGATGACAGACTGGTAAAATTGGACAGTTCTAGATAGAGAAGCAAAGTGTGGGTGCATTCTACTAAGTGGAAAAAGGAAAGTCTTTGCTGAGGATTTAAGTTAGCATTTTGGGAAAGCTTATTTGAACTTGTGAAAATGGCTTTGACCTTGTAAGCTCTTTTAGCCTATTTTTTGTAAACTTTACAGTCGACTTCAACCTTATAAATAAGCTCTCGCATTGTAAAAACTTATTAAATAAGTACTTAAACAAGCTGTTTACTCAAACACACTCTTAGCTAATCATTGAGCTCTAGATATACAAATTTGGGGTAGGATTTGCCCTCGCTTTGCGCTATCATCATTAGTTTTGAACAGTGAATATAGGTTAATACCCTTTGCCTTGGCTTTTGCAGCAAAATATGGAGTAGATATGGGTGTGATTTTGATTCAATACTCATCTGACTCTTGTCTAATCTCTTACATAGTAATTCCCCATCTTACTTTGTCATATTCCTTTAATCTTGTTTTCAGGGTCTGAGTGCTGAGAAAGACAATTTGGACATAACACAGCATGACTGGGCCTTACCAAATTTCGAGCAGCGTGCAGAAGCTGTGTTGAGGAAAGTTATCAGTTAACAATGTTATGGATTAGCTAGCTTGATCGGTTGCATTTGTTTGTAGGATGCCCTTCTATTGTTGCGCTTGGACCTTTACCTTCTGCAGCAAAAGATATCGAAGATCATGTTGCAACAATGAGTGTCATCTTGAAACTAAACTCTTCATTTTATTATCAGAAAACATTGGCACAATTTTGTTGAAACTGGAACTGAATTATTTATTCCTGCGTATTTTTCTGAATGCCCATAACCATAAGAAAGATGAAGACTTCCCAGGGAATGGAGTCTTGTGATGTGTTTCTAGTCCTAAATCTGTATCCTCTTGATACCATAAGTCCCGCATGCCACAATCCTAACATTTTCCACACAAATGCTAAAAATCCAACATTCAAATAGACGCTTACATCTCTTAATCTGCCTATGTGGCAGAATTAGAATGTAGGTGAGGCGCACTTAATTTTAACCCGATGGTGAAAATTATGATGCGAGGTAATGAATGTTCAAATTACCAACAACTGAATGTAATGTTTCAAAAATAAAATTTCTATTTTTACGACTTCATTTGTGTCTTTGCACGTGTGTATTTATTGAGAATATTTTTCATTTTAAAATTGTGAGAACTAAATTTGAATTATGTATAGATGGTCAAAGTTTAGTGATCACAATTAAAAAAAATGTTCTTAATATGTAGTTGTTTATATTTATTATTCTCATTTTTATAATAATTATAATTTTTTCCCTTAATATAGAATTTTAAACAATTTCTTATGTAGTTATGAGTTAAAGAAGATTAAATTAATGTAAAGAAAGAAGGGATACTAAATGTAGTTTTGTTAAAGAAGATAATGTGTAATTTGTACTTAATTTATTAGTTAATTTTTGTGATCCAACCGAATAATAATTGATCTACATTCTCGATGTAATTATGTAAATAGAGGTTATACAATTATCAATAAAAAATCACGATAGGTCAACTTTTAGAGGAAAAATTTTCAATTTTAACGCAATTTTGTTTATTATTTAAATTGACTAAAAAGTTTTTTATATAATATTTCAAAATTACGTTAGCAAGATTTTTGAGACATCTTGATGGAGCCTTTTTAAAAGTAAAAATAAATTAATATTTGTACTAATGTTTAGGCTTTGATGAAAAGTCATAATCAAACAAACAAGCCTTAATAATAGTTACAATAGAACTGTTAATTGTTAGTTGTTTAAAATTGATCAAAATATTGATTAAGGCACTTATGTCTTAACCACAACTTTAAATTCAAAGACAAAAGATGGACATATGTCTAACATGAAGTCTATGATATTGAAATCATGTCCTAAGAGAAGACTAATGGTTGACATGGAATCTACTGAGTCACTCCTTAGAAAGTATGATTTTGACCAAACCTTCGACATCATGGACAAAAATTTTGTAGTTCTAAGGTTAAGATTTATCTAATATTTAGTGCATATATTGAATCACTCCTTTGAGTGTTATATTGATCAAACTCTTGAAATCGTTAGCAAAAGCTTTTAGTTCTAACCACATTGTTGGTCGTGATGATTTTTTTTAACTCTCTTGACGTAGATCCTTTCGATTACAGGGGATTATAATTGTGAAGTTGCGACAAAAACAAGAGTCGAGGTAGAGAGCAATAGTTAGAAAGAGAATTGCCAAAAATCATGCCAAATGATCACCTATAGTAACTATTACTTTTATGTAAGAACTTGATGGAGACTTCAATTCTTGAGATGAAAAGAGAATACGTTCAAAGTAGTCTTACTTGTGTGATTGGCATTAATCTAGTAACACAAGTCATGATAGTTGACCTTAAGACATACACTTTTGCTAATGAGATGGTTAAGTAGGTGGAAGTTCAGGGTAAACCTATACTTGTAGAAATTGTTACAAACCAAGATAACTTCATATTCACGGTTGAATTAGCTAAGTTTGTTTGTGTTCAACTGTTTTGATTAGAGGACAATCAAGTTGCGAGGAGAATGATCTATATGAAATCTCATCCCAAGTTTTAAAGTTTAATATGTACTTCGACTAGCTACATTCGACAAACGAAGTGCACATATGTGAGGAGGATAATCTCTATCATATCTCATCCTAATTTTTAAAGTTAATAGGAGGAACATCTAAGTAGTTGAATGAATTTTTCTTTCTAGAAGCAATAATTACTTCCTGAAACAAACAAACAATAGTTACTATATCACTCACATCGCAAAACATAGGTTTAATTTATTTTATCGATTAACCAATATGGAGACGTGCTATATTTTCAAACAACAGTTACCTTTAGCAATAATTTTTTAGCCATTTTGTAAATCTATAAAGAAGACTTTAAATTTTTGTTTAAGGAAGGTTTTAATCAAAGAAAATTACTAGGCAAAAAAAGTACAACACTTTAAAGCATAAAAAGACAAAAAAGAAAGATCGAAGAAAATATTAAAAGGATACTTTAAGAAAGGGGCATAGAGGCGAAGATACAGTACAACAAAATTAAAAACGTTGTGGCTCATGCACTCCCTAACAAATGTCATCCAAAATCCCCAGCACGATCACCTTCTCCAACATTGAGTATGTGTAGTCCTGACATTGTTATATTTTTAATTCATATCTCTTGTACTTTTATTTTTGAGTTTATTTAACATAAGAATATTTTCTCACATCATCTTCTATGTTTCTATTGTTATTATTTCTTTATTTTGTTCATTAAACTTCTCTAAAACCTCATCATTTAAAAGTAACTAAATTAATTGACACAAATCCCATATCAATCCAGCCTCAAAACTGCATTGGATAAATAAATAATTTTAAATATGAAAATTTTACCTAAACATTAATATAAGTGAAAAGTGATTTAGCCATCCGTTTATTTGATTTGTTTATTAAATCATGGCTGGATTTTGGTGAATGAATTCAAACTATGCATCTAGGAAAACTTATTTTCTTGTTTATTAACAAAATTATCATAACAAAATCACACAAAAATCGTCAATAAATATATTAATCATTAGAAATGTATAAATTTGATGGCGTTATGAGCAATTGATACTTCTGTTCATAATCATGTGACTATTAATAATATGAAAAATAGTTCATCGTGAAACTTTTTAATTATGTGGTTCAGATACAGTTTATGTTTCTATAATTACAGAGACAAAATTAAATAACATTAAATTTCAAACTTAACAAAATAATATATTATTTTTTTTATCAATTTAATCGTTAAATTTAAAATTTTGAACAGTCCTATATTAATGACAAAAAAAAGAGTCCTATAATACTGCAGTGATGGATACCGGAGCAGCCAAAATGGATTCTAGATGGATGCCATCAAAGATTCATTGCTAACATCTTGCAGCTGAGTCAGAATGCTTGGATGCAGTCCGATTCCTCATTATACACAGGCTTCAGTCTTCAAATACTTTATTGTACATGAACCTGAGTTCTATCACTCAGACAGCAAGAAATTACACAATTATAATAGTTTAGACTCTAGCATCAAAACAATTTCACGAGAGCAACCAGCCAACCACTACCAAGCTTTGTTGAAGCCTTAAAAGTTACACATCATTCACTATGTTACAAATTCACATCCAGACTCCAAGATGTCCGACTTGTTCCACGATCATTGTTTCAGGCTTTTTAACGCCGCAGCAAATATCTAATAATGAAGAAAACAAGCATAACTTATAAAAATATTTAGCAGTATATTATCAAAACTAGTGCCCTATTTTCAAAAGTAAGCGGAGATAAGTAATGTAATTATGCAAACAAAAACAGACTCACTAAAGAAAAGTATGTCCTACAAGCTATTCATGACAAAAGATTCATTGTTTGAGAATGTGGCATTTTCCTCGAGTTGCTAAAGCAACTTTGCATTCAGTCAAAGAAAAAGGCATTGAATGAGTGTCCAAATGAGCAGCTTCAGTTTGACCACTACATAACATGAATCAAGATTCGATGCAAAATGATGCAAGAAAGAGATGGAAGGTGCTAGAAAATAAAACATGATTTGTCTGGTTAGCATAAAGCCAGATCCTCAAGTTAGATGTCATTGATGGGTAGATGACAAAGCCACCACACCTCCCCGTGGTGCTTTGTTCCTAGAAATGATCCTGCCTCTCCTAGCCAGGGATGAAAAATGGGTACCTGCCCGTCCCCATCAACGGTTGGGGAAATGCTCCCCCGCTCCCTACTTTAATAATATATAAATATAGATATTAATACAAACATGGAAGCTCAACCTTATGATTTAACTATTCAGTATTTGATAATCTATGCTGGGATAATAAACAAGTATGCACAATGTTGAATGATCCCTGCGTCCAATTGACTATACAAATCAAATATCTCAATTAAAATGAATCCGTGCAGTACACTACTGATATAGTCCATAAACCAGTCATATCAACATTAGGCATGACTTATACTGTCTATTTGGGGAAAAGATGGGGGTGTTACGACTGATGTTATGTTAGTGTTACACCAAATGAAATATAATTTCATTTTTTTTTTCTTTATTTCCACCATGTTTACTTTAAGTGTGTAATAACTACAAAATGAAGCTAAATTTTCTGACAAAGAACGATGGAACATGCATAATGAAACCACTTTCAGAAAGAGATACCTTAGATGGTGGCTGAGGATACTGTCTCAAATCTGCTTCTGCACCAGAATATCGAGCATGCTTACTGCTTCCTTCACTCTTATTACTACTTCTTTTCCCTTCAGGATATGATGGGGAGGTCCCATCATCAAATTTCTTATTTAAGTCAGTGGATGATATATTGTCCTGTTCCATAGAACTGCCTCGTGATCGTAGATTATAAGATCTTGCAACTTCTGTGTCCTCATGATTAGCATTCATTCTATCAGGCATACTGTTCTGAGCAGTACCATGCGAATTCTGATCCTTCTTTGAGAACTGAGTGGCTGCTACCCGTGCCCCAGCTATGGCCTGACTTATACTCGATGATCCATCCATTTCAGTTGCTTTTAAATTAGGTGTAAGCGCAGAGATGCAACCTGGCTTCAAGGAAAATGGATCCCGTGGATCCGGAAGTGGAAATTTCACCGGCAAAGGACTATTCACCGGAGTCAGACCTCTAACTGCAGCTTCATAGATCTTTAAACAAGTAGAAATATCAGTCTCCATTGAAGAAAAACCAGAAAGCAAGACAGAGATTTTAGAACCAAAAATACCTTCCGTTCCAGATTATAAACACCTTGGTATCCTCGCATCTCAAATGGAATCAACAATCTCTGGATTAAGCAAAGAAAAAACAATCACTCAGCATACATACACATAGTTCATAGTCTTATAATTATAGGAACCGCAGAGCAGTAGAAAGAGACAAACCTGTGGGCGTTCACATAGCCAGCAATAATCAGTTTGTGCTTCCAACCTCACCTAAGGAAAAGAGAATCAGTATAACAAACAAGGAATGAATAGTTAAAGATAAAATGTTGGTTATTGCTATTGCTATTTTATGGTACCCCTTCAGGAACCATCTCCCAGCATGCTAGCTCATCACGTGTTAAGCACCCAACCACTTCAACACACCCTGTATCAAACATTCAAGTTAGTGAGAGTGAAAGAAAATAGTAGAGAATAATTAACACTGAATGAAGTTGTGGCATTGATATTATACCCAAAAGCCTAGAAACAGGGTAGTGTTGAGGAAATTGGATATCAGTGACGCCATTGAGTGCGTATATCTCCTTGTAGAAATATTCCATCGCTTTGATTGTGGATTCATCTGGAACTTTACTGGCAGCATGAATCCAAAGACGACCTTAACATACAAAACAATGTGAAAACTTAGGGTAAAGTAGCAGCGAGTGAATGTGTTGGTTTGGCGCATAGAGATTGAACCTGTGATGGGAGCGGGCCAAGACCTGCCCTCGACGCGCTTGATCCCGTAAACGAGGAGAGAAGCCCAAGGTTGGTGCATCGTTAAACATGGATTCCGGTAGTTGCCGGAGGGAGAGTTGTTTCGTCTCATGGTTCAACCCTCTGCGTATGCACTGCGCAACCACCCACGACGCCGGCGACGGGTTCGGTTGGGCTCGGCCCAAATCAGTCTGATTGATGTGATGAACCGACTCCTTGACCAACAAACCCCAAACAGAATTACCCAAATTCTTGCTGTGTTTATCCCATGCCGCCCATGCTGAAGTCATTATTTATATGCAACTTTAGAATTCAAATTTCAAAGTTTGTTTCATGCCAAAATATATCCTTCCCTTTTAATCGAATTAACAATTTTTTTTTTATATATCGTGCGGATTTATCTTTCTTAGATTTGTTACAGTACGTGTATTAATGTCTAAATTTAAAATAAATTAAGTTTTAAAATAATGGTATTTTAAAAAATAGATGTTCAAATTTTAATATAAAAGAAGTGATGCAATTTAAAAATTATCTTTATTATATAATAATAAATATTTGCAATATAGGATTGATTTTTAAAGAAATATTGAACAATAATTTTTTAATAAAAAATTTATTATATAAAATAACAATAAACTAAATAGATAAAAATCTTTAAATTAAGAAAAATTAAAAATAAATATATTAATATCAAAATATGTTATAATTTAGATAGGTTGGGCATGTTTATTCAAATGCAAACATGCAGGCTTGAGCTTTCACTTATATTTTAAAAGTCGAGTAAGAAAAAAAAAACTAACCTAATTTAATAAAAAAAATTCAACACTATTTTAATATGAGATATCATCCTAATATTATAAAATTCATGTTAAAAAATAGACATTACTTTTAGACCCATTTAACTATACCAGTTATTAATTAAAATTGTAGCTTAAATATATTTATAATCTTCTGTTTTTATCTTAATATTTATAAAATTAATCATTGTTTCAGTCATTTTATTTAAAAAAATGATTATTTTTTTACTGACATAACTTTATAAAAAATAACATGTGATGTAAAAATTGACATGTAACAATATTTAAATTAATTATATTATTATTTAGTAGTAATTAGAAATTAAAATAAATATTATTTAAAAGCATAAGATTAAAAAAAATTAAAAATTAAAATTAAAACACAATATTTAAAAATAAAAAATAAGTTTAATATTAAAATTATTGTCTACCGTGTTATTAGGGTAAATATTACTCACTTGTGTTATGTGGTTAGTTTTTTATTAAAACATGAGTTTTGTTAACTTCTGCTCTTAAAGTTAAAAATAAACAACTAATAATAATAAAATTTTATAAAAAAATTATTTATTATATTTTTATCACTTCAATATAATAATTGTATATTTTTTTATAAATTTTTTTTATTTATGAATGTTTAAACTCAGCTTTAAAAGCTGAGATTAATAAAATATTTAGAACATATCCTAGCAACATTTAAGCAAAAAAAAAAAAGTATTCTCTCCTAGTATTGTATGTTAAATATTTCAAACAAATAATCAAATCAATCTTGTGCAGAATAAAATGTATGACTATCTTTGTACTGAATCAAACAATCAAGTAGTCAAGTTTAGTTACATAATTTGAATTCTATATTTGATTTTTATGGAATGAAGAGTGTACTTTAAAAATTATAATATATAATTATAATCACCAATTTAAACACGTTGATATATATATATATGAGTAGATGTTGGAACAAATATTAAAATTTTAATAGTTGTTTATGATCAATATTTGCTTATCTCTTTGTGTTATTTTTTAAAATATGTTTATTGCCTAAAAAATATAAAATAGCATGGAGGATTATTCTACCTAACCCTTTAAAGACGGTTCAAATAATTTGATGAGTTGTAGATAATGACAAGTAAGAGTATAAGTGAGTTAAGCTAAATTGAATATTTAAAGCTCTAATTTAATTTATAAAAAAAATATTTGAGATTAGACTAGGCTTATTAGTTTGTTAGTAGTATTTAATAATTTTTCACACTAGAAAATAAAGTAAAATGTTAATAAAATATAATATTTTCATACTCATAATCTATTAATGTAAAACTTAAAAAATAAATAAATAAATTAGATATAATTTATAGAATGTGTTTTTTTTTTTTTTGTTTGTTAAGGTTTCATAAAAGATAGATTCGTCTAGGTTTCTGCTAAAGAGCTTTGTGACAGAAATAAAATATTTTGAATACAAAATTACACATGTGCTCCAGAATTTTTTTACGTGAATGTCATAAAATTGTACACTAAAGTCGATTAAAAATGACTTTTCTAGACAGAAAAACACTATTTGCCATTTTATTCCAAAGAAGTTGATTATAATTGACTTGCATAGTAAGGAGAAATCAATTAAAATTAACTTCAGTATCATTCTAGAGATGATTACAATCGACTACTATATATATCGTCCAACCAACAACACCAATACTAAAGAGAGAACCGAGATTAGAGAGAATAAGATTAGAGAACAGCGGAGAAAGATAAATAACAATCTATATCAGCTTAATTTTATTGATCATATTGCAAGTAAGCTATAAACATAGATAAATTAATGTTTGAATATATTTAGTTAAATTATAATTAATTATTTTTGTATTTAATTTTATATATTATTAATTATGTAATTATATGTTTAAAAAGATGTGTAAATATTAATTATTATATTGTAAATTAAATTTAATTGTTTGTTATAATTATAATTATTATATTAAGGAATGTAATTAAAATTCTATTATATATTTTTAATTATTATGATAATTTAGTTTTATATTATAGTAATTTATAAATTATAATAATTTTGTTATAATGTTTTAATTTAAATTTGTATATATTATTTTGTTATTGTACAAAAATCTTGAATTTAAAAAAATAAGCATTATCATATGATGGTCACTCTAGATTCAAGAATGAAATCATTTCTTAGGAAGACTGTTTTTTGGAATGTTGCACAGATGGTCCCAATATTTGATTATGATAGGATATTCATAAGTACATTTATAGAACATTAGAGGTATGAGTCACACACATTTCATCTTCCATATGGAGAATGTATGGTCACTTTGGAGAATGTTATGTTTCAGTTAGGCTTATGTGTAGATGGGATCCCTATTAGTAGTTGTATTAGAGCATGAGAGAAATTTTACGATCAAAATATATGGGCATTGTGTAAAGATTTACTTGGAGTAACTCCTGATGAAAAAAACATAAAAGGATTTTCCGTAAATCTACAGTAGTTCACAAATACATTTAGAGCATTACCTCACAATAATGATGGACATACTATAATCCGTTACACTAGAGAGTACACAATGGTTCTATTTTATGGGGTATTATTTCTAGATAAATCAGAATTTAGACACAGATAAGTTATTGTGGTGAAATACAATGTCATTGTGAGCTTTGTCATGCGATGAAATACAATGCTAGTAGAAAAGTGAGCGGATGATGGTACATAATACCTCAGTTAACCCCTAGGCACCATCATCGTCTCACTTTTTCACTAGCATTAAGGTAAATTTATTTGTCAATATATTAATTTTTTATTTATATATGTTAAATTTGTAAGTAAAAACTAATTATGCTCATTTCAGGTGGAAAAGTTTTAGGTCATCTATGAGATTAGACACAGATAAGTTATTGTGATATAGGAGGATCATTAATTCAATTAGCATTATTGGGGTAAGTTTAAATAGGGTGTATGCCACTAACTTTTGTTTTGAATTATTTTATTTATTAGTCTAATATTTGTTATTGATTATTTTAGTTTAGATAGATGCCCTATAGCAACAATGAGGTCAAGAATATTACACCTCATTTCGTGGATGATGAGGCTGATGTTTGAGCATCTGTGACTATTCTTATACAGTTTACTGTGATTAAGTGTCACCCTGTTGATCGCGTAGTTTGACAATTTGGTGGAGTACAACACATACCAATCAACTCGATAAATATTGATCAGTTGCACGCTTAGGATGGGAGGGGTGATCTAAATATATGGTGGCCTGATTATCATGTGACATGGCATGCTGCATGGAAGGCAAGTAGGGACCGACGACTTCAATATCCTTTAGTTAATGATGATCTTCCCTCTATCAAGTATTTCTAATAATATTTGTCAGTCGCTAATAGATTTTTGTCTTTGGATGGAGCCCCACAGGATGTAGAGCTTAGGGACTTGCCTAATGGTGTACCACTATATGCCAGATCAAGATCCTCTCCCGTAACTGAACGGTCTTGTTAGTGTATTTTACACTTTTGCTTAAGCGAAAGTGTAAAATTTTGCTTGACTCGACCGTCCAGTTCACACCAAAACTAGAGAGAATCTTGATCCCTATATGCCCCCAGCACTTGACACCAAACAGCCCCAATGACGTTCTAGATAGATACTCTTTCAAGCGTTATTTATGTGCAGGTACACGTGCTAGTAGACATCAGTACCCTGATGAGGCACATATACCAGCTGACCTCTCAGCACATAATATACAACCTGATGCAAATTCCACTGTACAACCTACCTCACACCACGTATACCAGCCGACACCCATATACGCTAGCCAGTACTTTATGTCAGAACCTAACCAACAGCAGTACATAGTTGGCCCTTTTTAGCACCAGGTCATGTTGGGCCCTAACCAACCATTTATGACCTTTAACCAGCAGTTTATGGCAGCACCTAGTCATTAGCTGATGTCAGATTCTTTTCTTACTCTCAGTCTTATACAACATTTTGTCATAGGTTTAGCCCATGGTGATATTACACGACATATATCTTTCAGTTTACATTTCATGTCAGATGTTGAGGTTATGACTTGGTTAAATTCATCCAGTACAGGCAGATCTATGTCACCGCTAGATTATCTATATCAACCATCACCAACACATATCTAAAGTTCCTCTTTCAATGGTTCACTGGAGGAGGAGGAGTAGGATCATGAAATGATTGCCCAATAGTAGGAAGCAGATGACCAAGAAGAAGATGACCACAGTTAGCAGGAGGAGGAACATACACACTGCAAACATGTATAACAGATTGTATATCGTCGTTGTGCAACAGGGAGTCACCATGCTGGGCCTAGATGCAACATGTGTGGCTCATAGTCACATATGCTGCATGGTGGTGTAAATATCTTATGGACTACGCAGTTTGAAATTTTAATTTTATGTATTTTGTAATTTAAATTTTATGTACTTTGGAATTTGAATTTAATTTAGTTTGAAATTTAAATTTTATGTCCTTTAAAATATTATTTTTACATTGATATCATCTAATAGTTTATAAAATTATTATACAAAAATATTAATAAATTTAATTAAATTTATGTTTTCTCCTTTAGTTTGGGTAAGGAGTTGAAAGAAGTTATATAAGTTAAATATACACTGATCATAATCCAAACTACAAAAATTACTTATGAGTCACGTTTTGTTTTGAACTAAAGTCGATTATAATCAATTTATTTGCATAACTAAAGTTTATTATTATTGACTTCTTCATTGTGCTGAAAAAACAATTTAGATTAGCTTATATGTCATATTTGAAGTCGATTTTAATCAATTTCTGTGTAATTCAAATGAGGACATTTTTGTAAAACTTTTTATTCTAGTGTATATACATAATATCCAATTTTTAAAATTTTGTTTAGGTAAAAAAATCCTGCTAAAGTTTCTAGTAAGTCAGCACCCTCCTCCTCTAGAGCTTGCTAAATGACCCTTAATCGAAGGTAGAAGAAAAGGAATTGTGCTTAGCAAACCAAAAGAAGAGGGTGTATTGTTATTGAAGTTCGTGATTCTTTTCTCTTTCAATTTGTTTTACAGTGAATGTAGGTTTCCCTTTCATAAATTTATTATGAATAAGTTGTCTTAATGCCTATTATGGAGGTGATGGAGAAAATTGTTGGAGTTGATGAAAATAGTATATCTTGAAAGTCCCACATCGCCTGAATGAACAAGGCTATATAATGGACCTGAGTCCATGGTATCAAGTCACCCCAATTAGAAACAATTTAAGCTTGTATTTGACTTTTCTTATACTCTTGTATTAAAGTGCTGCGAGGTTAGTTTAATTACTTGTTTTAAAGAATGTGGATGTAATTAGGGCAAGGGAGAATAGTCTATGCATTGTAAAAAAATTCACATAGTATTATTCTCTAGTTGTCATTAGATAATTCTCAAGAGGTAAAGGTAATGTTTCTTTTTTTCTTCACCCAACAGTGATATCAGAGCCAAGTTCGGTAGGATATTCTTAGTATGCTCTGTGGTTGCAGCCTAGTCTAATCTTCCACATCAAAAAAGATTAATTCCTTATTATTGGAGAATCATCCTTAGTTGCTGAAGTTACAATGTCATTTATAAGTGTTGTCAAATGTGACATAGAGAAATTTGATGGAAGGATCAATTTTGGCTCATGGCAAACACAAGTCAAGTATGTGCTAATACAATATGAATTACACAAGGCGTTGAAAGGCAAAACTTTCGACATGGAGGAAGAGAAGTGGGAGGAACTAGATTTGAGAGCTGCAAGTGCAATTTGCGTGTTTTTAGCTAAGAATGTTCTTGCAAACGTGCAGAAGATGTCGATGGCTAAGGAACTTTGGGATAAACTCAAAGGCTTATATTAAGCAAAGGGCATCTAAAATCAGTTGTTGTTGAAGGAGCAGTTTCATAACTACGCATGGATGTTGATATGAAGGTCACTGATCATCTTAATAATCGTATCTTTATGAGATTGTCTTTGAATTAGAGGCTATTGGAGTCAAGATTGAAGATGAAGATATAGCATTGAGACTTATTTGGTCTCTTTCATTTTCCTATGAGTTTATAAAGTTTGTTCTGATGCAAGGAAACTTTGAGCTTTGATAAAGTTGCTAGTAAGATTCTTTCTGAAAAAAAGGAGAATAAAAAGTGACGAAAACATGTCAAAAAACTTAGTGATGGTTGCGAGAAGTGGGCCTTATGGGAATAAGAACCATAGAAAGACTATGGTATGTTGGAAATGTGGAAAGTTTGGGCATGTTAAGAAAAATTGTCCAAGTGGAGAAGCACTGGAAAGAAACTCTAAGTTAGATGCTCCTACTGTCTCTCTTGTTTCGAGGAAGGATGATCTTTTGTAAAAGATTAGTTGAATATCCTCATGACATATCCACATTGCCATGGAAAAGGATGAGTCCTTTTTAGCGGATCCATAGTTATACATGGACATTGGCTAACATTAATGCAGGGTGTGCGGTAATTGTAAACATGCATTGGTTAGCATTGATGCAGGGTGTGCAGTGAAAGAAAATTCTTGGAGTGGTTTAATTCCAAGTGAGTATACTCTTTATGGTGTAGTATAATTATCAATATAGACAGTGATTGCTGGTGCAAGCAATGAAAAAAGAAGATATGTCTATTTTAATCATGGTGGAGATTGTTGGAGTTGATGAAAATAGTATATCTTGAAAGTTTCACATTGTTCAAGGTATGTTGGAAGAAGTCTCACATTGCCTAGATGAACAAAAGAGTGGATAAACTAGGCTATATAATGGATCTGAGTCCATGGTATCAAGGCACCTTAGACAAAAATATTTTAAGCTTGTATTTGACTTTTCTTATACTCTTGTATTAAAGTGTTGTGAAGTTTATTTTAATTACTTGCTTTGGAGAGTGTGGGTGTAATCAGAGCAAGGGAGAGTAGTCTATACGTTATAAAATTTTTTACATAGTGTTATTCTTTGATTGTTATTAGACAATGTGTTATTCTACAGTTTTTGAAGTTTTCACGTTACATTTTTGTGTGGTTATTTTTATCTTATTTCTCTATTAGAAGAATAATTCTCAAGAGATAAAGGTGATGTTTCTTTTCTTCCTCACCCAACAAAAATATTGTCAAAAGAAAAAATAAAGTGAAGATTTACATTGACTTGCATGAAGAAGGTATGTTAAACCATGAAAGATAAACTAATAAAGCAACCTCTTAAGTATCAAGTAACTTGTTAAACGAAGGTATATAATTTATTAAGAGCTTGAAGGGAGAGAAAATAATAAAGTTGAAATGGTAAGAGAAGAAAGGTGAAGAGAAGAGAAATAAAAATATAAAATTCTAAAAAATAGAGAAATTTAAAAATATGATATCAAGAAAAATTTAAAAACTTTATAAATTTATTTTTTTATCTAAAAACTTCTAAATAATAATAATTATCATATAAGTCTTAGACTTTTTGAGTTGATTTTTTAGAGGAAGAGTAAAGTTTATATAATAATTATATTTGTTTAAGAGTTTTTTTAAAAAAAATGAAAAGTTTATAATTTTTTTAATTTTAAATTTATACAATTTAAGAAGTGTTATACTCACTTTATTCCTTTTTTCTTTTCTTTTTCATTACTCTTTAATTTTTTTTCCTTTTTTAAACTCTCAAACTAACACTTAAATAATTTAATTCAATTTCATTCTCTTCAAAAAGCATTATATTACACACTAAAAAAAATTATAATTACAATAATTTTCATAGTGACTTAGAAATTATTTTCTCTTACACTAATTTGTGCAGTTAAATAATTATATTCTTGCTGCATCGTAATTAATGTCCGAGACATTTAACAACTTTTAAATAAATGTTCACCGAGTCAGAGTGGGATGGATTCAATTATTGTCTTTGTCTATTTCTTAATTTATGATAAAGACTATGCTTGTGTGATGTGCTAGCTTAGTAATTTTTGTTGGTACAAATAATAAGAAATTGATGATCGTGTATCTTTTAAAAAAATTGTATGTATGATTAATAAAGTTTAGTGTAGTTGATAAATAAATATATTTTTATATTAATTTTTAATTTTATATAATTTTTATTTTAAATTTTATAAAATTTAGTAATATTTATTTTTTATTTTATAATATATCTAGGTGTGCTTAAATTGGATCGGATTAAACTTGATGAGAAATAAAAAAATTTCTTATAAAAGTTTAATTTTTAATCATGTGTATAAAAAAAATTATCAAGGGAAGTTGCATCAACTTCAATTTTATTTAATTTTTTTATCAAAGGATATGCATGAAGGAGAATAAAAGAAAAAAAAAATATAAAATTTACGAGTAATGGAACATCGTTGTTGTAATAAAAAGCGGTCGCATATGATTCAAATTACCATAGACACTAGTTGGTTCTACATAATCCAATTATATATATATATATACACGTGTGTCTGTAAAATTGAATTAATTTAGTTTATATTTAAAATTTTATAGTCAAATTCTCATTACAAAAAATTAAAATGGTAAAGTTTCTTTTACCACGAATTAATTAAAACCACAACATCCATTAATTGTCTAACTATGATTTTTTGAATTAATAAAAATATACAAAATTTCCGTCAACTTTTTTTAATAATATTAACAGTTTATTATTTTGTATGAATATAATATTAAGAGTTTAAATTTTATGAAATCACTCAATTAAAGACTAAAAAATGCTAACTAGTAACTAGTCTCATTATGCAATTTTTCTTTTTCTAAACGCAGCCTTTACACTTTGAACCATTACTTGTGAAAAATTCAAACCCAATTTAAAAATATGAATGGAAAATAACGTACATATATAAAATTTTAGGATTATTAGATATCTATTTCACCTTCATAAGTTTTATTATTAAGAGCTTTGCTATATATTTTTTATTTACTTTTTAAATAATTATTTTATAAATAAACATTAAATAAGAAATTGTGTATTTACAATTTAAAAAACATAATGCACCAGTTAAAGAATAAAAAAATAAAAAATGAATATGTATGTTTTGGGGGACATGCTCTGGCAGGGTTCGAAGGAGCACATTGTCGACAGCGATTATAAAACGAAAAGAAATTTGTTTGCTCCCCCCTAAGGCCCAAACCTAATCACTTTTCCTCTCTTCACCTCACCAAACTCAAACCCAAACGACACCCTTCCGCTACCAAAACGACTTCGCTTTTGCTCCTCCTCGTTTCACCGAGGCATGTTATTCGCTCACTGCTTCCACTCTTCTTCATCTTTCGATTTCGGCCCTTCGCATCACCGTCGCCGTCGTTTTCACATCCAATAAACACGTTCACTTTTCGTTTCTCTGGGAAGGGAAGAAATGGACCAAGCGGTTCTGGACGACATAATCAATCGTCTTCTCGAAGTTCGCGGCCGTCCGGGGAAGCAGGTGCAGCTGTCGGAGTCGGAGATCCGCCAGCTCTGTGCAGCTTCCAGAGAGATTTTCTTACAGCAACCTAATTTGTTGGAACTTGAAGCGCCCATTAAGATTTGTGGTATTTTTTCTTCTCGTTTCCACCGGGTATTGTCGTTTTGCTGCTTTTTACCCTAGACTCGTGATTTCGTGTCATTTCATGATTTGGCGTTTGAGCGTAGGATGATCTATGCTACAATATGACATCCTGCTGAGTCAAAAGCGAAGTGGTTTTATGTTGCGGGTTTGACATGATCTTAGTGCTTTGGGACTGTTTTTATTGCTTGCCACGTGATTTTGTGAGGTCATGTATGGGGTTTAAAAAGGCTACCTATGTTACGTTGTTAAGGGTAATTTAACGCAAGTACTGTTATCCTGTGTTTGGTTGCAAATTAATTGCATGAATTGCATGCGGCATTTGGTTTCTATTATGCTGTGCATGCTTATTGGTGAATGTGTTACTGATTGAATTGGTAGTAATGTTTGTGGAAGATTAATTTGACTGAACTGTTGCTGACGTTGGCCCGGGTGTTGTGTCAATTAAGATGTACAATTGGTCCTGCGTTAGTGCTAATAAACTATTAATTGACATGCTGTGTTAGCTGATTTATAATGTAAAAAGATATGGATGAATGTTCGTATATGATATTGGCAAGGCAAAGCAGGTTGCCAGCTTATGACCTAAGGTGAAGAAAACCAGGGATCGTTGCACTTCAGTCTGCCTTGACTGAATGAAGTTGTGGGCTTATATCCTCATCTCTGTTGAAAGATGAACACTTGGTGACCTTTCTTCTTTTTCATGTTTTTCTCCTTGTCTAAATCAAAGTTATCAAATAATTTAATCCCCTTTGCTTTTTATGTTTCTCTATTGAGGCTTACGGATCATGTTTGTGTGTCATCCCTAAGTTAATTCTCTGCTACAGTGGGATAATGGTTCTTTGTGGATGCTATAGAGACTTATTATATCGAAAAAGAAAGGCAAACCTTAAATTCAGTATTCATAAATTATCAAGTAATTTGTTTCTTTAAATAAGTTGTGTGCTGTTTTGTTTTATAGAATATCGGAAAAATGGGCAGTATCAAGTATGCCCAAGGCTCTAACACCTTGCCAACATGATTATTTTACAATTAAATGTCATGCTGGGAAGAAAAAGTGTTACTTCTGTGCAAGAAATAATAGTATTAATTGCAAGAATGACATCTTTGAGATCAAATTCTGAGGTCATTGAAGTTGTAGATGTACTATCAAGGCAGTTTAAAGATGGATCATGGATGGAACATTGCACTTGGTAGTTATTTATAAGGTGTCTAATATATGCAAAATATGTTATACTCTATGGGGAATTAAAATTTTAAGTTATGGTGAAGATAGAAGATGTGTTTCTCTCTGTTGATATTTTGTTGCTTTGTCGTCAAAGTTCTGGCTTGCAGCCTTTCAGGCCTGAATATGATAGCAAGTTCGTACAGGTCCTATATGGACCTTCAAGTCCTGCTTCAGAATTTTAGGCTTAGCCTTGTTTATTATAGTATCTAGCAGTTGAAGTGTTTGAGCTAACACAAATATGCAAACAAAGTTTATGAGCAAGTTGTTCAAATTTTGATATATAAGGAAAATTTTCCATGGTATGAAATGTTTGGAACTTCCTAGTATCATCTTTATGTAGTGTATTTTTGAGATTGGGCTTGTTTAGCGGACAAGATATGATAGAAAAGGATAGAATATGAGGGTTGAACAAGAAAGGATAGGATAGAAGTAGGTTATGGTCTTGTATTATTTTATGTTATACATGTCAAAATAACAACTTAAATATATTATGTTATACTTATGACTTATCCTCTTGTTTATTTCTAATCCAGACTTTTTCATAGGATAAGATTTACATTGAAGAGAATGATATGATAAGACTATATGTTAGACCTATTATATCCTGTTAGTTAAACAAATACTGGAAATAAGGTAAGAGTGAAAAAGTTATCTGATCTATTCTCTTATTTTATCTACCAAATGGATTGTGTATGAGAAGCTGCTTTCATATAAAAAATATCTTTTTGAATAAATGTCTAATTAAGCCGTGTTATTAAACATATCCTAAGAAGCTTATCAAAATAAGCTGAAAGGAGTTTATGAGAGTCAAACTAATTTCATAAGCTGCCCAAAAGTTCCTCCAAGTGCTCATATGTTCATACATTCAAATATTAATTCTGCGGGAAGCAATTATTTGAAATGATGAAATTTAAACCAATGTCAAATAGAACTTTGCAATATCAAATGTTCCTTGTTTGGCATGACATTGTTTTTGCATACAAAATGACAAAAATCTTCATTTTTGTAGACTCAATCCATCTATTGTACTCCTTGGAATTGTCATTGCTACACAGTCCTTTATTACTGTTTATAGAAAAAAAATTGTTTGCAATGATGACTTTTTAATATCCTTTTGTGCATCTTTCAGGTGATGTTCACGGTCAATATTCTGATCTTTTAAGGCTTTTTGAGTATGGTGGATTACCTCCTGTAGCTAACTACTTATTTTTGGGGGATTATGTGGATAGAGGGAAGCAGAGTTTGGAAACAATATGCCTTCTCCTATCATATAAAATAAAATATCCTGAGAATTTTTTCCTTTTGAGGGGTAACCATGAATGTGCTTCAATTAACCGTATATATGGATTTTATGACGAGTGTAAAAGAAGGTTCAATGTAAGGTTATGGAAGACATTTACAGAATGCTTCAATTGCCTTCCTGTGGCAGCCCTCATTGATGAAAAGATTTTGTGCATGCATGGGGGTCTTTCTCCTGACTTACACAATTTGGATCAGATTAGAAATCTGCAGCGGCCCATTGATGTGCCTGATACAGGTTTGCTTTGCGATCTCCTCTGGTCAGATCCAAGCAAAGATGTTCAAGGCTGGGGAATGAATGACAGGGGAGTTTCATATACATTTGGTGCTGATAAGGTCTCAGAGTTTCTTCAGAAACATGATTTGGATCTTGTTTGTCGTGCTCATCAGGTTAAACTCCTAACTTTGGTGCTCAATGGGTGTTACGAAGTCTTCAAGGTTGACTTTGTATCACCATTTTTACTTTTACTAATAAAAGTACGGACGTATTTCCGTCAATCCTTATCAATATATCAAGAATACTATAATTGCTTTATCTTATGCAAACTTGGAATTACTGTTTTCTGTTGTAACTTCTGAAACCAATCTATTCATTGAGGCTAAACTCCTGTCTAATGCCATTCATCAGCTTAAGATGCTTCATTCTTTACATTCCTATGTTTGCATTGAAGTATGTTATATATCAATCAGCTGTGCTTTTAAATTTAAATTGGATTATTGTTTTGACCAGGTGGTGGAGGATGGGTATGAGTTCTTTGCTAACCGACAGCTTGTAACAATATTTTCGGCACCTAATTATTGTGGAGAGTTTGACAATGCGGGGGCTATGATGAGTGTTGATGAAACACTAATGTGCTCTTTTCAAATATTGAAGCCAGCAGATAAAAAAGCAAAGCTCAATTTTGGAAGTACTGCCACTAGTAAGCCAGGAAACTCTCCAGCAGGCGTAAAGGTATGGTGATTCTTAAATATTTGCTGATGCAATACATATACAACCAAGTGGTGTATATTTGATGGTATGTGTAGGGGACATATCTAGATATTTATGAATTTCAACATTCACAGTGAATTGGAAATTTCATGCAAGCAGACTGTTTTGTATCTGGCTGAGACTTAATATGTGAAAGTGTTTTTAGATTACAATTAGATGTGTGCCTATGGTCATACTTCCCAAAATCTGGTTCATTTAATGCGTTGTCTTCAAATTGTTATTCTTGAAATAGGTTTTTGTTACGATTACACAGAATTTGGAGACATCTCAAGATGTATTGCTTGTTGGAGCTGACCTTCGCCTTTTTTTTTTTTTTTTCGTGATTAATATATCCCTGGCGTACACTTTTGCAGTTTATTAAGATTTCATAGATTTAAGAATTTCTGCTATAATTTAGGATTGTTGGAATGATCTGATTTTATATGTGATTATCGTCCTAGAAAACATTTGGGGATTGGATTCTTTTAGCAATTGAAAAGACTACATAACATGAGCTTTTCGACTGAAACATTCTGAAGAAATCAAAGCCATTGGATGAACTAACTTGTTTCAACTTTCAACTACTCCCCACCACAATTATAGATACTTTGTTGCATGTGTCTATTTTTCAGTGTGGCGGATTTGTGCTAAATAGCCGAGTTCTTAAGCAATTTCCTAATCTATCACATAATCTAAAGTTATACCACATCACACGGCATCACTAGTGTGGAAGTTTCATATTGTTTTGTTGTCCATGCTAGATGGTAATTCTAAATTTCTCCTCTTCTCGCTGCCTTTCAGTCCTTCATGGGTACAAAAGTATGAAGTTGATTTTGGTGAAATTGCTGCCAGAACCGGCCACCTTGGTCTTGAAGAGGCAATAGTTCCAAGAAAAGGAAAGTAACCATTTGATATCCTACGATATTTTGGAATTGTAAAAAGAAAGGGAAACACCATGAACTATGTAGACCATTTTTCACTGGTACAAATTTGCATTTCGAGATTGACAAGCATAATCTCTTCCGTGTTTTCTTTTGTACACTAATAGCTGGTATATGTTCTGAGTTGTAAGCTTCTCAAACATTGATGGATACATCAGCAGCTGTTGCTGAAAACTAATTAAAAATGCTCTTGCAATTGGCGTATGAATGGCAGTTGAAGCTGGTAAAAGCGAATATGGTTCTGTCTACTAGTTAATTTTTTTGGTAGTCGTATTAGCTTTAATGATCCTCTGCTAATACGGGATCTCTGATCTATTGCTTGAATATCTCCTGATTCAACACATTGGATCTATTATGAGACAAAGATACTTACCCTTTTGTTTGATTCTTATACCAAATAAAAAGAGCTCGATCGATCCTGACAGCAAACATGATGTTTCATGGTTGTATGCATTTTATCTTCGCAAAATTCTTCCTATATTTTAAAGTTTTGGCATCGATTATGGCGGTACATTAGTATCGAATAAAAAGATAGCCATAGACGTTCAAATTATTTTAAACGTAAGGTGCTCTATGAACGAGGTTATACCTAAAACTAGCTATTTCATTCTGACTAATGGACAGCTTGAATTTAGACGAATTAAATTTGAATTTTTTCGATCAAGCTCGATTCATATTAACTTTGCAAAACTCTCCACTTTATCCCGTTTTAGATATTAATTTTGCTGCTTTATTCAAACATTTTTGAGCTAGCTAACTAAAGTCTGCCACCGCCAACAAGGAGTTTAAAAGATATATATTTAAGTATAAAAAATATTTAATGATTTTTTTATCTAATAATTAGGAGGATTTGTAAATATAAAATATTAAAAAATTGAAATTATTCTCTTAAAATGTGATCACTCGCAACACTTTCTTTATTGGATATGAAAAGATAATTAAGAATGTCTTTATTTCAGAAGTGTGATGAAAACTAAATAATTTATAAACAATTATTTGTTTAAGTATATTAATTAAAAATTAATAAAATTTAAAAATAATGATTAAAATATTAAACGTTTTAAGAGTATTCGTTGACATTTGGAAAAAAAAAAAAAAAAAAAGGGCAATCCCAAGCCGCCTGAATACAACAGTCGACATTTAAAAATAGAAATGCATGGTTTTGTGAAGCCCATGGTTTCAGTGGTATAATATATGCAGTAATATTTGTTTAATTAATCTTTAGTGTTCGTTTAGGATTCGTCGTAGACAAATTGAAATTGATAGGGTGGAGGTTTCTGGAGATTACACATGTAATTTAGGTATTCAGAATCTGAAACGTCGAGACACTAAACAACGTCATGAATTAGCAACACTCCAAATCGTGAGATGACGTGGCTTCACTGTCTTGTGCAGACTGAGAGAGTCACGAGAAGACTGATATGCAGTGACTAGTGAGAGTAACTTGAGCAGCACAACTACCGGCCGAACCCAAGATGTTCATTATCTGATTCTCATTGTTCTCTATTATTGAATTCTGGGACCCTCAATTCTAAAAAATTTGAGACCAAATGTTACTCATAATAACCCTATCCACTTTGGTTGGAAACATTAGACACATTCAGAAGTAACGTGTCACATGGGTAGGACCATGCTCAGTAGTTGGGACATGTGGTGGGTTTAACGTTTGGTACTTTAGTTCAATTATTGCCAGTAAAATATAACTCCAACTTGGAATCTTTCTCAGCAACCCAAACAAGGAGAAAAATAAACAACTTGGAATCTTTTTCATGCACCCGACCTCAGCACTCTTGTTTCGCTTTCCAAGATTCCCATGTAAATTATTATTTTTCTTTTGAAATAACAATCTTAAAGGCTTGAGAAAAAAATTACAAAAACTAATAAGTATTTTAATTTAAAAAACATGGTAAAAATTACTCGGTTAAAATATATTAGCAATTTTAAAGCAACAACTTTTTTTAACTATGAAGAATGAAAATTAGATAATTGATTTTTTATTTTAATTCTTTACTCAATGTTGTTAATATATCGGTGGTATTTAGTTAAATAATTAAAATGTATATAAAAAGAATATTGATAATAACAGTAGTAGGTAGTGTGAGGGAAGCAAGAATGCGGTGTCCCTGGGATGGGTAGATTGTAATTGTGGGTCGCAGCCTGAAACGTAGAATACAAGTATTATAGATTTGCTTGGAACGAGGAATCACACAAAGGAAAAGCAGAGATAAGTTATCAACCGATAACTCCGCCATTATCTGCCCGTAACAATTTTCCTGTCAACTGCCAATTTTTCTACCCGTCATTGGGCCCCTCCTTCCCATCATGTAACTCCTCTCACTCTGCAACACCTAGCCTACCAAAACATTTTTTAATATTAATTAAATTTTATTCCACGATTAAAAAATGTTACAAAATATATATGATTAATCTTACTTTTCTTCAATCATTTCATAAACTAACAAATATTTTTATGACTGTTTTTCTTTGCTTGTTGAGTCTTTCAATATTAGTAATATACTTTTTTAGTTATTAATTAAAATTTATTTAAATTATAAAATATATATAGATCTCACTTTTTTTTTTTACTTTTAATATATTTTTTATAAAATTTAATCAATATTTAAAAAAAGTAAAAAAATAATTTTCAATAAATTTGTAGACACTTGGGTCAGACTTTTATCTTTTTTAAGAAAAAAATAGCTGGCAACCATTGTTTTGGGAATGGGAGCGAAGGTGAAGGGCATTATTGGCGTGGGACACAGATCACGTGCCGTGGGGACAACGGTCCACCGGTACAGTTAGTTACTTAAAAATTGATAAAAAGAAAATAGAGAACTGGCAAGTACACCACACAAAGTGATAAGTGCTACACATTTTAAACTCTACACTCCACACTGCTTATCACGTTAATCTCCCTCACCTATCTGCTTCAATTCAAAAGGATTAAAGGAGTTGCCTTTTTTTATTATTATTATTTTATAACCCCCAAAAGCTCGGTAGATGTGTAGGGCTACACCCACCCAAGAAATATTACTCAAATTTTAATTATATTTTCTTGGAGTAGTTAAGTAATTTTTTTAAGAAAATATTTAAAAAGAAATAACGTGAAATCACAAAAGAATAGCTACTTATCATATTAGCCAATTTTTACACCGCTGCTTTGTCGTTTTACCACTCTACCCTCTGTGAAAGAGATAATTTTTTTGATAATATTATGCAATGAATTCAAAGAACATAAAACAAGGAAATGGTCGGTGTGCTGTCTTTCTTTGAGCCTTTCCATACGTGAACATGTACCTAATGCACACCTAACTTACTTTTTTCTTTCTAAATTTCACCATTAATAAACATACTACCATGTCACTCTACCCTTTATGCGAATCCTACTAAGATGCTATCGAATAACGAAGGGTGAATCATTCCAGAAAAAACATGTATTACGGAGAGAATCGAGGCTGTAGAACCTTGAACACATGCCATTGATCAGTGGATGTGGTCGGCAACGCTAATTAGAATCCTGCTTTTTCTGGGGACCCTAATGTGCAACGCTCATAAAAGCAAAAGGAAATGGATGAATTGGCTAACGCTCATATGAATTGTTGAAGGTTAATGTACTTTTCGTATATAAGAATATATCAAGTGTGGATGTGTTTCCGCATAACCTTTTCCATGGAATTTGTAACGATTAGAATAAAAAGATGACAATTTGGCAATAGGAAAGAGCATATGCCATGGATATGTATATAGTCCACGCAGGCGTCTTTTTTCTTCCAGAAGCGCTGCGTTCGATTCGCTGTTCAATTTTGAACATAACATGTCGCCTTTTCTTCGCTTTTTCTTTATTCTCACATTTCACACCCATTCTCGCCCCACACTACAAAATCTAAATCATGCCCGTTGAATTGTTTTTTCACAAATAGGATACTAATACAACACATATCATTTATTAATAAAATTATAATTATATACTTTTAAAATATATTACAAGTGTTCCTTATTAACGTATTTTAACTCAAAAATTAGTAATTATACGTTTAATGGTTAAAGTCTTAATTCATCACAGGCTAATAATATATTCAAATTTCAAAATATGTACGGCAAAAAATTGCTTCTGAAAAAGTGGAGAGGTTTTGAATGGGACATACCCTGTACATCACCATGTGAATTCATCGAACGGCGAAAATTATATATAAGTGGGTAGAAAATATATTAAATGACATTTTATTATGTAAAAAATGATAATAAAATTTAGTGCTAGTATTGAAGTTTGATATTTGATGTGAATTGATCCTAATTCTCTCCGTCCATATATATAAATATTAGAAAATCAAAGTTATAACTTGTTAATATATTTTCTTAAAAGTAAGTATAGGTTAGTATTTGTGATTGTAATGTATATACAAGTCATTGCTTGCTCAATTCTATAAGAAATTATGTATACACATGAAGTTCTACTTGCGTGAGTGAAGGGGAGCCATTGAAGATGTAAAAGAAAAGGCAGAGAATAAAGAATGATTGAAAACGATGACAATGATGGGTTGAAAGAAGTTTGCTACTAATCTTGTTAAGGAATTGAGTAAGCAATGACTTTTATTTTGGCTGACTAAATAGCCTTTACTAAACAGGAGTGAAAATGAGTTGAAAGCAAATTGATAATGAAAAGAAAAATATAAAAAATTAAACCTATTTGATTTAAGAAACAACTGTTTCATTCATATATTTCTTTTATAAATAATTATAAAATATCATGTATGTATTTAAAGTCTCATACATGAAAAATAATTAAAATAATAATTTTATTATAGATGATTATTAAATCAAGGTTACAGGAAAAAAAATATCTTCATTATTATAGATATAAATTTGATCACCTTAATTGTTAGAAAATGTTATTTTAAATTTTAGTATATTCATATCATTGATATTTATTATTTTTTTAATTATAAAAAATGATTAATATTTATTAATTATATGCTTATTATATAGTTTTGAAATATTATAGGATTGATACATGTATATGGATTATCTCACCTTATTATTTTATAATTATTTGAGTTTTTAAGCAATGATACTCCTCTTACTCTTTATAGATAATTGTTACTATGGTTCAAAAACTTTACATGTAACTTTGTTAATTTTTACTCAACCACAAAAAAAATAATGTATTTTCATAATATAAATTTTTAATGTATTTTTAAGTTCCTCTTTAGAGTCAAATAACAAACCAACATATAATGGATCTTCTTGAACCATGAAATTGATTTATTTAAATTTCTTACTTTCATTTCTTGATCTGAATGTTCCCAATTAATATACTTGTAATGTATACTTACATTCTAGAAAATAATTACACCTTCACATGCATTAAAACTTTATTAGTATTCATAATTACTTATTTCATAAATATCTCAATCATTAACAATATCTCTCATACTTTATTATGATAAATTTAAGTTTGAATCAAAATCACTATCTAAGTCAGTGTTAGACAAATTGTCTGATAGAATATGTCTTTCATCAACATCCTCATCAATCTTCTCATCTTCATATTCATATTCATCTTCACTTATTTCAAATTACAATGACTTAGTAAATATTCTTTCTTCTAACAAAAAGTTTAAATAAAAATTATTGTAATCAATGTAATTATACCTTTTGTAACTGTTATATTCACTATTTTGATATTATTAACAAATTACATTGATAAATTTAATTCCAACATATGTGAGACAATTCTTAAACACTCACCAAATGCAACATTTAGATATAACTCAATAACAGTCATAATATTTTATTGTTGAAATGCACTAATCATACAATTGATGTCTTCATTGTTACATATATCTAATGTAGTGTATTATCTATCACTTAAATCAATAAAAAAAAAACATAAAATGAATTTAGATATAATGTGATTATGACAAAGATTCAATTTTTCATCATTTTTTCTTTTCAAAACCTCAAAACTTATCTCTCTTTATATCTTTATCATTTTTTTTTCCTTCAAATTTCACACATTCGTTTCCTTGAAATATTCTTCCATTATAATATACAATAATAACAATTTTATTCATCTTGCATTTGTAAAATAAATCCTAAAAATATTATTCATCATTTCTAATTTACTTAACTAATATAATACAAATCCAATAAATTAATTAATATAGTCTAGTTTAACTAATACAAATACAAACTATTTCACTTTTACAAAATTATTTTAAAGATAAATTAATTTAACACTAGCTAACAATATAATAACATTTCAATTCATATTTTCATCTCCTCAATTTATTAAAATTAAACTAAACATTGATATACAAATTTACTTAACATATTATTATTCATATTTTAAAAAACAAGCTAATTAAAAAATATAATTTATTTGAAATGCATATAATAATTAAACTAATTCAAATAAAATAAACTAAAAAATTAACAACATATAAAATTAAACTTATTCACATTATTCTAACTAACAAACATATAATAATTAATGCAAATCATTACTAACCTAATAAATTCTCTCAAATTTTTCTAAATAATCTTTCAAATACTACATATTATTATCCGTAAATCAATCTCAATCACTATTTATGTATAGTTTTTTTTTAATAATAGAGTGTAGGGACATTACTTTATCTAGAAGTAAAAATGTATGCCATTATTTAAATAAGTTTTGTTTACGTAGTCTACAAATTTTTTAAGATCTTGACATATGGCACAACTCTATTATTTTTTGTCCCTTCTAGATACAAAATTAGTAGAATTGTGTCACATGTTTTAATTGCAAAAGTTCAGTCTCTATAGGAGATCAAACTTGTCTCTGTCTTACATGGATCACATATATATTTTATCATTGCATTAGATGAAACTTTATTACTTTCTAACAAGTGTCATCTTCATAGAGTTTCATCTTCTACCAGAGATGAAATTTATAAGAATGAATAAAAAAAAATTTTGAACATTAAAATACAAAACTTAGGATGATGTGACAAAAAAAGGTTTAGACAAAAAATAGTTTAAATTTTTTTTTATTCTATTTTAATGATTAGGTTTTAAAAAAATATTTAAAAAAACAATAATCTAAGTGTTGAAGACACTTTGTTTGTTTTAATGTTAATTTTGTGTGAATTAATGGTGATCATTTCTTTTCATTGCATGCTATAATATTTATCTTGTGAGTAAAAATTGTAGTTTATAAGATGATTGTGAAAGTGTTATTGATACATATGTTGGTGATTGTGTTTTAAAAAAATGGACACAAATTTCTTTGCAATTTTGATTCAGCTGATTTATTCATGCCTTTGATATTGATTAAGATGAAGAAGAAAAATAAAAAAGTAAAAAGAATCATTTTGTATTTAAAAAAATATAGAGTTTTTTGTATTAAAAAGATTATAATATAATTAGTTGTAAATAAATATAGAAATTTTTTACTCTAATTTGTAACAGGAATATTAAATGTCCCTTCAAATTTATACCATTAGAGCAAGCACCTTAACAATATATTAAAGTTATATTTTCATAACTTTTAAAAAGATAAACTTTGCATGCATGCACACACATGTATAAATTAGTTAAACTTTTTATTGGTTTATGGTGAGTGCATTATAGATATAAATGTTGATTTTTCTTATTTTTATAGAACGAATGAATCTTAATTTTTAAATAATATTTTTAAAAATTATCTTAGATAAAAGAATTTTAAGGTGTTAATTAATATTCTCACTATGTCTCGTAACTTTTTATAAATTGCACGTTTATTTTTAACTTAATTTTATATTTAAAAATTTTATATTTATAAACTTTAAAAAATTAATAATCTTAAATATAACATTGTTTAGTATTGAAAACTAAAATATATTTTTTAAATGGAAGAAACATAAAATGTATTTCAAAAAAAATTATTTTAATAAAATTTGTATAGCTAATGAAAAAGTTACTATTTATTAACGTGTAACTCAAATACTAGACAATTTAATAAGTGATGAAGTTGATTTAGATGTGCTAATCATTAGTGGGGAACATTTTTATACATATATTTAAAATTATACTATCATATTATTCAATAAATTTTAAAAAATAATTATAGTCATAATTGAACTTATTAAATGTAACATTGACATAATATATTTTTATTATTAATTAAAATAAGCAAAAGAGTGGAGAGAAAGAAAGAAAGGAGGCACGACATATGGAGGGCGGTGAGAAAAGAAGAAATGGTCCAACGCCGTACTGAGATGGGACCCACAATAAGTTGATAATTGATAAGGGCGTGAATATAGATGCCATTACTTATCTTAAGTCTCTCAACTATTCACTTATGACATCACTGCATACGCCTCTTTATGTAAAGCAGAATCATCCCTCTAGCATTCTCACACTTCGCTTACATCGTCTTTACAACACTAATTACAAAATTAATACATATTTATTCTTTATTAACGAGCACTGATTAGTATAGTTTTATTATTAATTAGATTAACGTATTTTCAAAGTAAACCTTGCGGTGAAGTGCGTCCCTCGTGGCCAAATTCATGTGACTTAACGTTCAAGTAAAATAAGTCCTACGTCCAATTATAAATTACATGAAAATAAAAACTCGGTCCACTCTCTTCAAAAAAATTTAGTTCTTTAAAATAGTACTACTTAGTGTGATATTCGTGAATTAAAAAAATATTTTATATTTTTTAAAATTAATTATTATGATTCATCTATTATTTTAAAAATAAAAAAATATTATTTTTTTAACTAAATAGTTAATCTCATTATTTATGTTACGTGTAAAAGAAGTATCAAACACTCTCATTTAGAAAAGATATCATAAATTTTATCTTTTAAAATATTTATCAAATGGATATTTTATTTTAGATTGAATTATGTACTAAAAAGTTGTGCTTCTAAAAGAAGTGTCTTAAGTAATAAATTTTCGCTCGAGAACTAACGGATTTATTTATTTCTTTTGTTGTTGAAAACTTAATTTATTAAACAGAGTTTATAAAAAACAGAACACTGGGCAGCTCACGCTGGCATCGATTACTTGTCGCACGGAACTTGATATAAAGGAAAACGACAAGCCCAAAAGCTCCATCTTTCTCTGCATAATTCGTGGTTAAAGGCTAAAGCCAAATTTTACATCATCTTGTTATTGGCACCAATTTTCCCATCACATTTTGTCTTTTGCGCTAAACACTCTTGGTCAATGTGTCAGTGTGCTTGAAAGTTCAAAGTTGATTTTATGACTTCTGAAAAATGAAAACTTCAATTTTAGTTTCAATAATACTTTAGTTTGATTGATTTGTATTGGTTTATATCTAAATACGAACATATTCATTTTAAAAAATAGCAACTAGGAAACTGGGGATTAATTGACATATTCTAAGAATCTTAAGAAGAAAACTAATAATTATTTCTAAAAATTGGTGAACGACGACACGCCAGGTATAATCTGTTTGATAAATTATTCTTTTCTTAAAAAATGATGTAAAAGTTTGGACTAACAAAATTCAACACCATAATAATAACCATTTAAATGTCAATTAGAAGACCATCTAATTTAATAATAAGAATCCCCCTAATAAAATCTCAATCCCCTGTTTATTTTCTCAATTAGTTTGCCCTTTGTTTTTCTCATACGGCCATGATAAAAATAACGGAAATCAAAAGATTCAAAACCACAAAATAAGAAAAATGAAGATTAAAGCGTTTGCATGCATTCAAAATTTTATTCTATATATACAAAAACGACAACATCGATAGCTTCGATTCAAACTCCTCTTCATGTTAGAAGGAGTTCGAGTCTCCAGATTTCCCCTCGCTCACCTTCTTTATACACGAGAGAAAATCATCAACTCACACCTAAACTCTCAGATTCCTTAAACCAAGGAAGAAAAAGGAAAATTTATTTATTTTTTTTAGAAAAAAGGAGAATTTACAGGACATGCTCTGTTTCCTTCCTCTGCCTCAAACAGTAGACCTTATTGACACACTAGAGAGAAAACAAGAGGCAAAATTAGCTACAAGCAAGTAGCTTAAGTCAAGTCTCTCTCTAACTTCCATTGCATTGAAACTCTCATAACCTCAAATTCAAGTCAAATCAACGGTGTCAGCGGCACTCAAGATCCAAGGGTGTCCTGCAAAAACAACCAATCAACATCAGAATCCATCAACAAACTCCCAACACAGTAATTACTTAAAAAATTGAAAGAAGAAACATAGAACATACTCAAGGCTTGTTCAGCAGAGAATCTTCTGGAAGCGTCCCTGCAAATCATTTTCCTCAAGAGATCCTTAGCAGAAGGAGAAACAGACCTAAAGATCCTAGAAGGAAACCTAAGGTTACCCCTGACAACAGCCTCAAAAATCTCAGCAGCAGAGTCACCATAAAAAGGAGGAATCCCACTCAACATTATGTACAAAATAACACCGCAACTCCAAACATCAACTTTCTCATCATACTCTCTCCCCAACAGAACCTCCGGCGCCACGTAATACGGCGTCCCCACCACCCCGCTCATGTTCCTCCCGTCGCCGAACCACTCCGCGGAACCGAAGTCGGCGAGTTTAAGGTTGTCGTTGGAATCGAAGAGAATGTTGTCGGGCTTGATGTCGCGGTGCGCGACGCCAAGGCGGTGGCAGTGGGCGACGGCGAGGAGGAGGTGTTTGACGAGGGAAGCGGCTTGGGGTTCGGGTAATGGATTGTGAGCGACGATGCGGTCGAAGAGTGTGAGGGGTTGGCAAAGCTCAACGACGATGGCGAGGTTGTGGTCGTCCTCGAAGAAATCGAAGATTTGGAGGACGTTGGGGTGAGGAGAGAGAAGAGAGAGGTATTTGGGTTCGTTCTGAAGGCACTGACGATCGGTGGAATCGGAGAGAAGGGACTTGTGGATGAGTTTGCAAGCGAAGGGTTCGTTCGAGTTTGGGTGGAAGCAGCGGTAGATGGTGCCGAAGCGACCGCGACCGATCTCTTCCTCTTCGCAAACTTGGTACTGCGTTTTAAGGGCTTCACACATTCTTTCTTTCTTTCTTTCTTTGTTTCTTGCTCTTTGATTTGGTGTTTGTTACTCTGATTTTATAGACAGAGAAAGAAAGGTACCCAATGTGCTTCCATGGAATATTCTTTGGGTCGATACCATCCCTCTCACTGTTAACCATTCCACGTTTCACACTCACTTATCGGGACTGCTTATATTATACTCATGTTTTGTTACGCATCAACCCTAGAATAACATGAATTGTTCTTATAAATTTTCTTTATTCAAATAGCATAATTCAATTCAATTTTTATTTTTACTTTATACTTTAAAATGTTGTATTAATTATTAAAATAAGTAGTGTAGATAGAATAATAATTAAAATAGTGTAATGTTATAAAAAAAAAGTTGTTAAGATAAATTATTTGTTTCAAACATCAAATTATCTTGAGATATTAAATTTAATAAATTTCTTTTCTTCTTCTCCAAGTTTGAATCTCTTTTCTTTTCTCTCAAGTTGTCATGCTGTTGTTTATTCGATTATTTATTTTAGGAAAAGGAGGATTCTTTTCGTGCCTTTTTTCTTGGAAGCTGAAGATGAGGAGTAAAAGAAACGGAATAAGGAAAGGCTATATCCTTAGAATATACCAGGAAAGCCAAGCAACGCAATTTCTTTAATGATCCCAAATTCGCAATACGTTTTTGGGTGCCAACGAGAAGCTCGTTTGTCAAGGGAACCACATGCTAGCATTGGTCTCTAGATTATTTTCATGCATAAATAGTGTATCAAGGACATGTTCACGATCATCCCCTTAAGTTGGGTAAAATAATTGAGTTCACCTTTATGGCCTTCGCTTACGAACAGACAACCTACCATCTCAAACCATTTAGTACATGATACCACCTTTTAAACCATTTTGTGTGTTTCCTTAACATATTTTAGTATTATTATAAAGAAGAGTTAAGAATACACTTTTTTTAATGGACTTTTAATTATTGATTAAAATTTATTATAGTGAATTGTTAAATTAAGTATGAGGTCCATATAATTTTTATATCTTTTAATAAATTTTAATCAATGTAACTAAAAATGTATTAGAAAGAGTTATTCTTTTTAAAAGATTTTTTAAATCATCTTAGAAGTATGAGATACAGTCTAATAAAAAGAAACATTGATAACATTTATTCTTCAAGTTATGATGGTGAACTTCATTCCCTAAAAATAAGGGAATGGAGTTCTCTCGGATATATAAACTAGGAAACAAGCTGTCCACAAAAATAAAAATGAATTTGAAAAAGTAAGGAGGGATATTTTCTTTCAAATAAACAAATTGATGATTGGTGGGGTACTCGGCTAGTGTTCGCCCCACTATCGCAATTTTTTGGCCTTTGGGGTCTATTCTTTTTTTTTTTCAAACTAAAATAAACAAAAGCTATTGCGTTGGGGTCCAAAGTAAAATAACGATAAGGATATGTAGCCGAAAAGAAAATAACTGCTTAAAAGAAGATTAGGATTATTTTCTTTTCTTAAATGACTTGCCGGACAGTGTAAGGTACAAGGCCAGGACAGTCACTTCGGAGATTGGAATGAAGAGTACCAATAGTAAGACGTTGCATGCCTTTATGCAATGCGGCCAGCCCAAGTTTCCCTTTTCTACGCCGAGATAGGAGAGCAAGAAGTCATTTTTTCTTGTTCTTCTTTATAGGTCAATAAAGAAGCTAAACGATAGCATAATATGAACGGCACCAAAGGGCTGTTTTTGAGCTAATATTTCAACATGAAATCCACTCAAAACGAGTGAGAAGGCCTGCACTTGATCGTAGAATTTTAAGTTTGATTTCTTTTACCAAATTGATATTCATTTTATTCAATAATTTTCAAATTAGGAGTACAACCAGATGCACTTGTATAAGTTCAAATTATGACTCAAATGAGTCGCAGAAGGGTGCATCCATCTAATCAACTTATTAATAAGATATTAAGATTTTGCCTGATATAAATGTAGATCCCTCTTAAAAGAGTCCGATTAAAATTGCCATGTCGCTGACTTCTTAGTGTTCGATTGTTTTACTATTAAAAATTTAATCCTCATACTTTCTAATTAAAATATATAATTAAAATTAATTTGACAAACACTCCAATTATGTTTAAACATTTCAAGACTAATTTCTCAAAATTCAGTGGCTTAATTAGTCTTAAAATTTCACAGATCTTCTACTTGGTCCATCATATTTTTCAAACAAAATTTCCATAAAATGTTTATTACAAGGTGATCCTTTTCGTTAAAAATTTTTATTTGATCCCTTTATTATTTAATGTTATTTTAAATGACCAAATTAAAAAAATTACAATATATACAAAGGCCAAATTAAAAAATCCGGGATACTTTAAAGAATCAAATAAATAATTTCATAATATTAAATCAAATTAGAAACAAAATTTACAAGAGGACCATTTGATTAAAAAAAAAACATTATTAAAGCACACATTTAGAAAAAGCTGGCTCTTACTCTCCTTTAAACCCCATCCGGAGTTGATATTCGTATAGGTTAGACAGCAATGACATGGGAGAGCATTGAAGCTTTCTTTAAGAAAAATATCAGACAATCGTTGGACTGATTAAAAGAAACATATGTTCAATGTACAGAGCCACTGAATCGTATATATAACCCCGCCCCCCTCCGCCAAAAAAAAAAACATTGAATAGAAAGTGTTATTATAATGCTGCATATATGTTGAAAGATAAATCTAAATGTCCAGAAAAAAAAAATGTGACAGTTTTATATGTCTAGCACTACTCTTTTAATTCTTCAATTCCTAGAAAAAATAAATTTCAGCAAAGACAGCAACCAAAGGCACAGATGACAAAACAAATGTACTCTCCGACAGATCCGGGGCAAAGGGGCAAAAGGGACTCGGTCATTGAAGCAAACTACTAAAAGATCCAAAGGTGAAAATTCTTGCTATTTATGATCCTTAATAACTTAGGGCCCCCCAAATAACAACATACTGAATGATGTAAATATAATTCAACCTGGCTAATCAATTCTCAGCAAACGACCTCACTTTGCATGGATATCGGTACAAGGTAACATAACTTCCATGATAACGGCTCCAATGCTGTGACCAGCAAATCTTAATCTTGTAGCTTGCCCATCAAAGACACATTTTCATAGCTAAGAATTTCCTAGTCTTTGAAGCTAAGTTGGCATAATCCGATTTAAAAGCTGATCCTGAGTCCAGTGTCTCTGAATAATGGCCCGTCCATCAGTTATGGAGCATTAATTTCTTTTCATCCCTGTACTAAAATATATATGTGCAAAATAAGGGAAATTTAGAAGTGTGTCACAGATAACTGAATATTTTTAAAAGTGAACAAAAGGCAGGAACAGACACTACACTGAACAAAAACCTTAATTCATCTTTCAAATAGCATAGAACACTCAGAAGAAAGTCACATTTCAAAAACACTTGCCTAAAATTTCTCAGAAGGGAGCCTCTAGTGATTCATCCCACACTTCTGCACTTCCATTAGAAGCATCTTCTACATCTTCTTCCATTGAAAGCCTAATATATTCTCTGTGAGCAAATCGATCCCATTCTGTCAATGTTGGATTCTCACGTTCCTATTCACACAAGATATGCATACCAATTACCAAGGAAGTCACCAATAGTAGTCAAGCACGCTATCTTAATAGTGCAATAATTTTTATCAAATATTTCATGCACCTGACGAATTAAAAATGGGTCGCGAGTTTCAAAGGCCATGAACTTATTTAGATTGAACAGGATGTTGAAAATACTTCCAGAAAGTTTACCACCTTTCAGGTCACGCAGAGTTATATGGCTCTCATTCTGCAGAGTGAAGAATTTTTAATTAATTAAAAACTAAAAATGTCAGATACTAAATCAACATGAAATCAATCAAAGATAAAGAGGATATGAACAAGGGGAACACTAAGTTTGGGATATGCCATATTGCAGGACAAAACACAATTTACAAACTGCTCACTAGATCTGTACTCACTTTTCCAGTTATTTTTAACAACACAGTGAAAGAAGATTAAACAATCAGCAAAAAAGATGAAAAGGCAAACCTTGGGTTTAATCATGTCTATTATCTGGCACAATATGTCCTCAAAAAGCACAGGCTCTTGAGCCATGCACTCCATCCGATGCAACTGCTCCTCATAAAAAAATTGCAGCTCATTCCTTGTCAGAATTCCATTTCCATCCAAATCTATGCACTTGAACCTAACAGTGACATTTTCACGTCAGCTCATATGCTGATGATCTAAAAATTCAGAAAACAAGTAAAGCACACTTTCAAATATCCCACATTTACCAAGCAGCAGTCTTTTTGGTGAAGTAAGATAATGCAGAGGGAAGTGACAATGTAAAGCATTTCATTTTCACTCTTTTATACTTAGTACAAAGGATGGAAAGCATTTCAACTCCCCAGTTCTAGATTGAAAAAACACAGACAGAAAAGTGAAAAAGGTGCATCTCCTCATCAGTTATTCTTCAACTTTTCCACACAACGCAGCCCAAATTTTCAGTCAGTTCAGTTAATGCTGTCCTATTTTCTGATGTACCAAGCATCCTTTAGTAAATCTCTCTAGTATTCTAAAACTTGTTGAGTGATACGATACTCTACCAACATAGAATGCGGCTACACAAAAGCTTATGTTAGAAAATATGAAAATATCTTATCCTATCTTATCATATATTAGATAAGCCTTCAGGGTTAGTTTCTCTGTTTCCTTATTATCTCTTATTAATTACCATATTTCCTTATAATGTTTTGTTTCCCTAGTTAGTTAAAATTATAATTAGCATAAATAAAGTTAGTGCTCTAGGTTTTATGATCAATACACTGTAATACATCTCATTTAATATCAATTTAGTGTTTCAATCTCTTTTATCTCTGTTCTTTTATACCGAAAACCCTATAATTTGAATTATACAATAACACATCCATGCTCTGAAGGACACAAAGGTTACATGGTGCACAATGGACTGGATCAATATTATGTCGTTTAGAACTGTTCTCTTTTGCAATTTGCCTTTGATTACATACATAACATCCCAGACTTCCAGTAACAGATGACAAAATCAACAGATAAAGATTTATAACTACGGACCAAGCTGTCAAGCATATGCATTTGCACAGTACAAAATCAAATCAAATAAAGCATGCCTCAAACATGCCTAATTTAACAATGCAGCATCCTTGTATTTTCAACTGCATGGCAACTAATATGATAACTCCTTCCAAAAAAAGAAACTAACAAATGAAGTGGATAATGAATGAGAAACAAATACCAATACTCAAGACTTGGTTCGGATGATTTATCCTCTTCTGACAATATGAAATAAACAAAATCTTCATATCCCATCTTTCCCTCAACCTTACTGGTAAACTTTCTAGGGACCTGAGATATGAAGCAAGTTAAAATTTGCAACTTCAATAAATGATCTGATAAATCACATAAACAAGTGGATGGAAAGTGAACCAAACACTTCGTGTGTTACAAAGATAAGTGGTTTAGGGTCTGTGGCTTAAGTCTGAAATGGTTAAATCTCAAAAGACAGAAGCAGCTTGTAATCCAGACAAACCTGAGAAAATATTCTATCAACAATTCGATAGGTAAGTGCATGGTTACCATATCTGATAAGATTTTCTTTGTCTATCAAGAAATCATGATCTGAATCCAGCTCCCAAAACTTGCAGTATATAACATAAAAATGCTCATAAGAGAAGTACCTACAAACAATTATTAGGTGAAGTAAAAACAGTCATTGCATTTTGGTTGAATTTTTGGCTGATAAACAGAGCCGTTGTTTAAGTGAATGATAATGATAGTATATCTACCTCAAAACCTTGTTAATGTCTTCTTCTTCATCGGCGTGATGCATTGCATCAATTATATTTCCTCGCTTCAGCTCCCTTAGGGTGAGACGACCATTTCCAGATCTATTAATGTAATAATAGATTCTGTATATTATAGTTTCAGCTGGCCATGGGTAAAACAAGTTAACAATATTGAATCCAAAACAAAAATGAAGAAATAGTACGCCTGAAACAAGACCAGTTGAAACCAAACAATGCATAGATTTCAACTTTCAACAATCAACTTTAATGAAGAAGTCCCCTTGCTCGGGTACATGAAGAGTTACTCTATTCATAAAATATAATATACATCAACATGATATTAGCAAAAATAGCAAATAAAAAAATATAGACAGAAAAACATGATCAGGTATTTGTCACATAACTTATTGTTATTGGGTGGTAATTCATTGAAAAATGGGAAAAAATTGGAGAGGGAATAGATGTGATGTATTCCTTTGCTGCAAGGCATTTCTGTCTAAACTAGTAATTGCTATAAACCATAGGCACTATCATACCAGTGAAAGTTATGAAACCAAGATATTCTAAGGAAAGACTAGTTTCAATTGAGCAAGATTGGAGAAGCTTTGTCATGTAACTGTAAACAAATGAAGCATAATTTTGGCCCCATAGATGTAGGGGGCAACATCGTGGCAAAACATAAATGAAAACTCACTAGTTGGAATCATTTTAGTGAGTTAACTTTGCCTATAACCCCATAGCTAGTCCCAAGTCCAGGTAAAAGAGGAGGGTTTTGTTAAGTCTTCAGCAGTTAAAGTAAAAATGGTCGAAAACTTTTATTTGGATCACTTATGACGACATTGTGCTAGCGCTAGGTCATTATCTTGAAGTAACGCACTATATAGCTCGAGTACAATGTTAAATGAGCTAGAACCACTGCATCAGTGCCTAATGTAGTATTAAATGAGCAAGGATTCTCACATTTAGCTTAATAGGAGTAAAGAAATTAGTCAAGGAACCCGTTTCGATTTGGTTAATGGAATATTAGTACTTTGAAAAGCAAGTTGTTAGAAGTGGTAAACAATATGATTCGTAGAAAGATTGACATCATGTGTATTTAAGAAATAAAATGGGTTGAAGATAAGTCTAAGGATCTCAATACTACAAGTTTCAAACTTAATACACAAGAAAAATCAAAGTAAGAAACAGAGTGGGCATAAATGTGGATAATACTTGGAGAAAAAAAAACGTGGAAGAGATTAAAAGAATTGGAAACAAGATCATGTCCTTAAAGTTGTAAGTTGCACAAGACACTATTAATATCATTAGTGCTTATGCTTTACAAGATGGTTCGAAAGCTCTTTTGAAAACAAAGTTTTGATAGAATTCAATGGGTTAATTTAGGATATTCTACAAATCAAAAAGATTTTCAAATTAGGAAGTTCATGATTTTTTTGGTTTTGAAAAGTTAAATGCGGAAGAACAATTTATTCTTGACTTCTCAATAGTTTATGACTTTAAGATTATAAACACTTGTTTTAAGAAGAGAGAACAACACCTTATCACTTTTACAAGTGGAGTCTTAAAGTTGCAAATTGATTTTTCTTTTAAGGAATCTGGATAAAAGAATTTACATAAATTGTAAAGTGATTGTAAGAAAAAGCCTTACTACACAATGTAGGGTCTTAGTCCTTACTTTCATTTTAAGATTGGTAAATAAAGAATTCAACAATTTATTATTTCTAAGAATTAACTAGGGGCTCATTAAAGGTGAAAAACAATTGGACTTTCAAAAGTAGTTAGTAGAAGAGGGTAGCTGGGATACATAAGTTAGTACTAACATCATTTGGGACAAAATGGCTATGAAGGTTAGGAAAGTTGCCTAGAAAATTTTAGGTAATTCTAGAGGTCTTGGACCAAAAGACAAGAAATTGTAGTGGTCGAATGAAAATGTGCATAAGAAGATTAGAGAAAAGAGGATGTTTTTAAAACTTTACATATATGTAACAATGCTAAAAATTGGACAAGATATGAGAATGCAAGAAATGAGAAAAGAAAAACAATGAATGAAACACATTCTAAGGCTTTTGAAGAATTCTATCAAAATCTTGAGACTAAGTATGGTGAAAGAAATATTTACAAGTTTTCCAAAAATAGAAAAATAAAATTTAGAGATTTCGATCAACATTGATGTATTAAGAATAGAGACGGAAAAATTTTGGCTTTAGATCAAGACATCAAAAATAGATATGCGAAATATTTCTATAATTTTTTTAACAATGAACAAAAAGAAAATAGAAATATAGCAGAATTAAAAGTGTAAGCAAATGACCTAAATTTGACATTATTGTTGGATTCAAGTTGGAGAAGTAAAGAAAGCCCTTAAGAAGATGGACAATGGTAAAATGATTGACTCTTATATTATCTCTATTGAAATTGGGGAAAACAAGAACTTAAGTAGCTCAAGAAGCTCTATAATGAGGTTTTAAGATATAAAACTATACTAGATGAATGGAGGAAAAACACTTTGGTCCTTATAGACAAGAAGGATGGTGATATCCAAAATTGTGCAAACTATAGAGGAATTAAACTTATGAATCATACTATGAATTAATGGAAAAAGTTAATTGAGTATAGACTGAGATGAAACTAATATTGCAAAAAATCAATTTGATTTTATACCAAAAAAGTATACAATAGAAACTATATATCTTTTACTAAAAAAGATGAAGAAATATCACTATAAAAAAATGACTTGCATATGATTTTTATTAATTTGAAAAAAGCATATAATCATGTACAAAGAGAAGTGTTATGAAAGGTTTAAAAAAGAATTTGTGTAGCATATAATTGAATTATATAAGAAATGTATAAAGAGGTACCTACACGTGTAAGAACTTTTGAAGGAAAATCTAAAGATTTTCCAACAGAAATAGCTGTATATCGAGACTCCACTTAGAGCCCTTGTTTAATTTAGTTTTAGACGTGTTTAATAGTGATATACAAAAGATTATACCAAAGTGCAAACTTTTTGCTAATAATATAGTGTTGATTGAAAATTCAAAAGAGAAAGTTATTACTAAACTTAAGTTACAGAGAAAAACTTTAAAAGCTATATACATTGTAAGTTTAGAGTGAAATAAGGCAGAGTATATACATTGTAAGTTTAGTAAAATATAAGATAAAAATTATGTGTTGAAAGTTGTAGTTTGATATGATATTATACCTCAAGTTTCTAAACTCAAGTACTTAAGATTAATTTTACAGAATGATAGAGAAATTATTAAAGATATTACTAATAGAATACAAACTAAGTGGTTAAAGAGAAAAATTGAATTAAGAGTTATTTGTAATTGTAAAATACTTATCAAGCTAAGAGAAAAGTTTTATCATACTGCAGTATAACTAACTATCCTATATAATAGTGAATGTTATGCCTAAAAGGAAAAAGAGAAAAATGTGAGAGTAACAAAAATGAGAATGTTAAAATGTATGAGTGGTTGCATGAGAAATGACAAAATAAAAAATGATAGTATATGTAACAATATTGGATTTGTACATATAATGGAAAATATGACTAAAAATATAAGTTAATTTGGTCATATGTAGAGAAAACATTTGGAGGCACAAGTGAAGAAAGTGAATGTGATAGCAAACTGTAGATAAAGCAAGTATATGTTAAAAGAATTAAAAGAAGGGTGGGGGCCTCAGAACCCAACTAACTAGGTGAGATAGAGGTAGTTAGTAAAAGATTGTATATAAAAAGAAATATGACAAGATAGAAGGGACAAAGAGGATGAACATTGTCAGGTTGGGGAGAGTCCAGGGTCTCTCAAATACCGAGTAAACAGTGTAACATTTTTGTCTGTCTCTTGGTCACCTTGATTAGGGGGCATTCTTATGAATAAAATGCAATTTATGGTCTGTTTTTCCATCTGTATTGAACTGGTTCTAACAACTAGTATTAGAACTCTAGTTTCATGGGCATGATTAATGGTGGGAACAAGAATGGAGAGACGGGTAGAAGCCTTGGAAAGGAGCTTATCAGAGTTATGGCAACAAGGAGAAGAAGAAAGTGAGCGACTTTCTTTAATTGAAGCTAGTATACACATCACTGAAAACAGTGTTCAAGAAATCTTGCCGAGGCTAGGAGATATTCAAGAAGGCTTACACCGCAATTCAAATATGGATATGGGAAGTGAAAACAGAGGTGAAGAAGAGTACAGGGCAGAGAAGAATGATCCTTGGAGAAAACTTGAAATCCCAATTTTTGAGGGAGAAGATGCTTATGGTTGGGTTACCAAGATTGAAAGGTATTTCCAGTTACATGGGGTGCTGGAAGGAGAACACATGTCAGCCATCATGGTTGCACTAGAAGGAAGAGCATTAACATGGTTTCAGTGGTGGGAATCTTGTTCTGGAAGGGTATCTTGGGAGCAGTTCCAACAAGCAATAATTTGGTGTTACCAACCCTCAATGATGCAGAATCCATACAAAATCTTGTTAGGGTTAAAACAAGAAAACACTGTACAAGAATATCATGAACAATTTGAGATATATGCAGGGCCTTAAGAATTACTAAACAAGAATATTTGAAGGGTATCTGTCTGAATAGTCTCAAAGAAGAGGTGAGGGCTGATCTAAAGTTACATTGTTTACAAGGTAGTCAAGAGACCCTGGGACTCTCCCCAACCTTACAATGTTCATCCTCCTAGTCCCTTCTCTCGTGTCATATTTCTTTTATATATAATTTTTTACTAACTTCCTCCAACTAATTTAGTTAGATGGGTTCTAAGCCCCCTACCCTTCTTTTAATTCTTTTAACTTGCTTTATCTATGGTTAGCTATTAGAATGACATGACTTTTAGTCCAATAAAAAGGAGACAAAAAAGACTTAGAAAAAGTTATTAAAAGAGAGATTTTATTTAATTATATTTCTAAAAATTTAATATTTGACCGAGTTTAATGACATCGGGTGATCCATGTAGCCAAACTCACCTAGTAGGATAAGGCTTGGTGGTGGTGGTTGTTGAAATCATTTCAGTGAGTTAAGATGAATAAAAAACGGATCCACCACAAAAGTGAGTTGCTAATGTGGGAGAAAGGCACATAGATTAATGTAGAAGTAAGCCATTCAAGAGGACACATCTTTACAAGGGACTGATAGAAAGGCATTTGTGCAGCAGCAGTCAATGCTACGACTTTCAATTGGTGAAGTAGCTAGTTATGAGGATATCATTGAAGCACTGAATAGAGCTCAGAAATGAAAGAAGGCTCTCTCTGCAAGAATCTCTAGAAGCACAAGCAACAAAATTTCTGAGCATTCCCACAACTTGAGGTCAAAAGCCAATTATGCAAAACCATGCATTGCTTTAGCCCTTAGGACCACCCACAATGGAGTTCATTTTTGTTCAACCAGCTCTAGAACAATGAGATGCACCTACAAATCCAATCTCACCGTTCTGTTTATTTTGAATCACTGAGATGCCAAACAAAATTAAGAAAATATGCCCATTTTTCAATATCCTTTATCCCTTTATCTTGAACACAATTTTTTCTATTCAAATAAATTTATGCTTCATATATACATATTCTTACTCATTTACTCCCACTTAATTTAATGCCTGCAGATATCTACTATCATAGAATTAACTTCATATCTACTATCAGGAACTAGGAATGTATCACAAAGATATCATCTCAAGTCATAAAGGGATCACACCCTGGGTACGTCCCTTACAGAAATTGACGATGAGTAAGTGAAACAAAAAATCTCAGTAAAAATGAAGTTATAAGGAACCAAATGCTCGAATAAATTAAACTCATTTGCATCAATCTTCAATTACAAACCATATCTCTCTTGAAACTCAGGTGTGCCCTGCAGGAACTCCAGGCCTGGATGAGTTGCTAAAAGCTCACGAAGTACAGGTTTAAAGTCATCCTGAAATGTATTAGAGTTGCTTTAACATAAGAAAGATGGATATGAATACAATATCAAAGCCAAAGAGAAGCAGGGCCCTAAAAATGATAAAGCATCCTAGAATGAAACTAGAATTGAATAAATGTAATTTTGATAAATACCAGGCCAAAAGCAAATGTACCTTTTTGGAAGAGTAGAAGGAATTTAATGGAAAATAGAGTAGAAAGAAATAAATAGTATTAAAAAAGAAAAGAAAAAAACCTGAGTAAGGTAATTCAGCTGTGGTTGCTTTAAAATTTTGTATACTTGAGTAGCTATATCCATCGTCAACATGTTGCCATTAATCCAATAATCAATAAATGCTGTCCTATAGGAACAATAAATCACAAATTTAGGCATAAAGTATTAGGAAATAATAATTACAAGGCACAAGACCATTCAACAATAGTTGTTTACATCATGGGGAAGGAGAGAATTGAATTAACTGTATTTACTTTATATATATGAGATTTCATCCACTAATTCAACCTGCATAACATCTGGTGCCAAAGCTATATTCAGAAAAGGAAAAAGGATTTGCATAGGTTAAATTGGAGCAGGATGACTACAAACATACTACCCAACTAAAATGGCAATTCGACAAAGATTTCTTGTTAAGGTGCCATGCAAAACAACAGACAACCTCTCAGTCAAACAGTTTATATTTTTTTATGTTTGGCTGCTCCTCCTTCTTTGAGCCTTCGACAGATCAGTGTCAGATGTTACAATATAAGCATCGGTAAAAAGAATAAAAAACCCCTTACTATTAAATAGAAGATTTAGAAAACAAAATATAAGGTCTGCTTGAAAACTAAAACATAGTATTGAAAATGAAATCAATCAGCATTAAAGATATTGAAGCATCAAGAAGGTTGGCTTATGACAATCTTCAAGTGATGTTGGAGGTTTCATCAAGCACACTAAACATGATGCGGGTAACTATGTCACACACAAATCTGGTTGTATATTGAGAAATTAAAAAGATAAAAAAAAGTGGAACAAGCTATAGGGAATAGAATCAATGGATAATGTAGATAACAAGCCAAATTAGGGGTCAGACTTCAAAGCATTCTTTTGCAAAAAATAATGCAATAATCAGGAGCTCAGCCGCCCAATCTTTCTTAAGGACTCACCATTATTCTGATGCTACTCCAGCATCTAGACCTAAAACTTCGAATTGCCCAACACCTCAATTAAGAATCACCATTCATGCACAAAATTTATTTTAAAAACAGCTCTGTCCAGAAAAATAAAGTACACACCTTGTCACAACACCAGTTCCGTCGTCAATCTTTCTGAAAAGAGAAGTGGAAAAAAAAGATGGCAGCTTGCAAACTTCCTTAGTAATTGGTTTGAAGTCTGACAATCCAAGAAAACAGGTAAAGCAATTCTCAGAACTGGCTGTTACAGCTCTGTATTACATTAGAAAGTGAATTTTATACAAATCATCACATCTTGACTTTTGGCAACATTTAAAATAAGTTATTTTTACTCAATTTAAAGAGGGGAGAGTGTGATTACTTAGAAAACTAGAATATGAAACTTATTTAAAATCACTTTTCCCCAGTTGCAACAAACTGGCCCTTCAGGCAATCAGCTACTTATATGTGTGATATCTCACCATGCACCAGCATGCCACCCATATGGTCATAGAACAACCGATCAATTTTAAGCAAGCATTGTTCTTTCAGTTCTTTTGGAGGTGGACGTCCATGTTGAAAGAAGAACTGCAAGTGAGCAAATGTTTACATCATAAACATTAACATAGCAGGAATCAAGAGAGGGAAAAAAGGATAAACACACTAAACAGACCAGGTATAAGAGAAAAGTATCATCAAATAAAATATTAAGAGAATTAGGCAGCAGTTCTTAATAGGATTGATATAAATTATTTGCTGGAAGTTAGTGGGGTTTTGGAGGGCATTGGGTGTCCTACTTTGAAACAACTTCTTATGATTAGGTAACAGACTTTAGCAAAACAAGGTAATAGTTTTGTGGCAATCTGCAATTTATGCAATTCTTTGGTATATGGTTGGAGCCCAATATTCACATATTTTACTTTGGTGTTTTACAAATGGCCATCTCAAGAAAAATTGCCATTTCATATACACAATGCGTGTGACTGGGCAACTTGGCTGTAATTTTTTTTTTCTTCTTATCGAATGTATTTTGCATTTTCTGTTGTGGAGGATATCTTATCCTCCTTTTAGATATACTTTCTTTGACTCTTTTCTAATACATTTTACTATTGAAAAAATAATATCAGACTTGCCTAACCTGAGGTATCACTTCTTTAATGGGCTCGCTGACAACTTTCAAAGGAGAACCCAAATTAGAAGGGCCAGCTCTCTGTTTCACAATGCGAGGGGAACCAGATGTACTTCTAGGCGAAAGAGGTGGTGCAGTGCCAGCAGGAAACATGGAAGGCAGAGAATTACTTGCAGCATTTGGACTAGAGCTATTCCCAGGGACATTCAATGGAACACCTGACTTTGCTTCATTAAGCAATGATGTTACCTATGCAATTAACAAGGGAAACATTAAAAAATATTGCAACCACATGCATGATATTTTGTAGTGTTAAAGGAGAACAACCTAACCATTTCAGAAGACCCAAAAATAAAATACAGTAGGTATAGCCTTGTCAATCATCGTTTAACATATTTCAAGTATCACCAAGATCTTATTTATCTATATTGCTAGGGGTAGATGGGATTTCCCAAAAAAAAAAATTGGCTATGGTAATTCCTTGGAAAAGATGGAGCTATAAAAGATGAAGTTGATTACTACTTAATATGGTGAGGATAGAAGCACACAATCATCCTTGAAAAATCAGAATTCTGAATGTGTAAGCGTGTGGAATGCTATAAAACTCTGCAGTAATCTTTAATTACATGAGCTTTGAAGCCTAAGTGACAACACCAATCCCTATTGGTAACACTGCAATGACTTAAACACTTCAACGTAATGCAATAATTATTAATCTTTTACTATCTAAACAATCATTGCCTGGTAACCAGAGCTACTATCTCACCCATTTCAGCACCACCAGTGGCTTCAAATCACTACATTCTTCGTGCACATATACATAAACACAACAAGAAAGAAGGGGGAAAAAAAATCTAACGACGAGAATAAAAGAAGGCTATATAGACTCTTCAAAATTCGCAATGTAGTAATGTGGAGATTCCAAAATGGAATGAAGCCTACCACTCGATTACTTTCGGGAAGCGACAACCACTGGTCGAAGAGCTTCTCGATGAAAGCGATGTTAGACTTGAGGGCCAAAGCGGAAAACTCTGACAGCTGCAACAATTCGACGTCCAACGACGCCGTATCAGTGATGACCTCCATGTTTATCTAAACCAATTCCGTTCCCTTATCTCTCATTCACAAACCAAATCACTTAGCACAGAGATCAACACGAATCCTGATTTTAATTTTTCTTTTTCCTTTAAAAAAAGAGCGGAGCAAGTTGAATTTCAACGCCTCCAAATCGGAACCACGTAGAACAATCGGAAATGCGGTTGAGGAATTCAGATAGCGAGTTACGGATTCAGCAGGAACCCTAGATCTTCTGGAATTATAATTTAGAATCAATCAATTAGTAACCTATAATATGTACGGTGATGACGATCTGATGAAGGAAGTGGAATGGATAGAGAGTGAAGGAAAATGAGAGAAAACTGTTCAGAGATCCACGCGATTTTGGAGGGAGAAGAAATTATTATGCTGAAAATAACTAAAAAGTGAGAGAAAGAGAATGCGATTTGTTGCTCGTATTTTATTTTGCATTAAAATGGCAGCGAGAAAGAAAAAAGAGGGTTAGGCAAGGTGACCTTTAAAAGTTGACACGTGTTTGTCGTATGGAAAATATGGTTTTCCGAATTCAATTATGAGTCTCACATGCTGGATGATACTACTATTCAGCTAAGTCAAGCAAAAAAAAAAGTCAACACTTCCGTTGTTCTCTTTTTTATGCATTTTCTTAACGGAAATAACTTAATAAACAAATAAACTTTACCATACACTTCAATGACTTCGTGCACTCTAGAAAATATAAATTAAAAGTTAAAAAACATATAAGAGAGTGCTCTTTTTTTCTTGATAATTTAAAGTATTTATTTATTTAATTAATAGAGTAATTTAAATTATACATATATAATTTTTTTTAAAAATATTAACTTTAAATTTTGTAAATAAAAAAATGTTAGAATAAATAAGCTCACCATATTATAAATATTTTTATATTTTATAATTTATACTGTATTTAAAATATATTTATAATAAATTATGAAATTGATAACTCGTGCATTAAAAATTTAAATATATATACTTTATGATACCACTAAGCAATGGACAATACAAAGTTTATAATAAATAATGATATAAAAAGAGTTAAACAACTAATATATATAAAAGAATATTTTTTTATATATATTTTAAACAAAAAATAATATTAATTATATTTTTTATGAATAGAATTTGTCGCAACTGGAGTCACGATGGGACGGCGATGACAAGGAGTCACCATCAAAGTTTATTAAAGAAAACATTGAAAAAAACTTTTAATTAAAATAAAATCTTCGAAACCAAATTTGAGTTCGGAAGTTGTTTACGTGTAAGGAAGGTATTAGCACCTTACGACGTTTGTTAGTTAAAACAGTTACCTTCTAATTAATTGTGCAAAATTTTATTTTAACTTTAAAAATATTTATTTCACTCTAAAAGAAACTAATTAATATTTTTTTTACTATTTTCAAATTTGTTATTATTATTATTATTAGATTTATTTCTAATTTTTACAAATTTTTTGAGAGATTTTAATTTTATTTTTTAAAATGAGGAAATACAATAAAAATTATTTGAATTAAAAGAATGAGTTATTTGTAAAAATATTATTCTTTTTTTTCATTTTTTGTATTAAAGAAATATATAGTAAAAAAATTTATCTTAACACTTTATTTTTTATTTTCTATTTTCTATTTTCTATTTTCTATTTTTAAAATAAATAAAAATTTATTTTTTAATCTTTATAAAAAAAATGTGCTAGAAATTAATCTTAGTTTTAAACAATTTTAAAAATATTTTGAACCTGAAAAAATATTTAAAAAAAAAAATTAGACTTGACAGGTCAAATTTTCGCTCCTACGTATCCTCCGTGTGTAACGTAGGAATCAAAGCTACACGTAATTTTTTTTCGAAAATAATGTTTTAAATAAATTTCAAAGATTTTCTTTCTTTCTTTTTTTTGTGAAAAAAACTTGATTTTTTATTATTATTATCATTTTAAAGTAAATCCACTCCTGCACAGGGTTCAAGTTAGCACACGGCTACTCAATAAACCCTTACAATCCAAGCAACGTTGAAGGTGGATCATCCACTCTATCAAAATTACTTGGCCGTTGCGTGGATTCAAAAGACTCATTTTTTTATAATAATGCAAAATTGATATACCTTTTAATGAGATTTTTACACGCAAAAAAAGAAACAAACGAGAGACATACAGAACAAATAAATAAATATAAGAGCAAACAAAAATGATGAGTAAATAACTCCTATTCAATTTAGGAAATAAGTTTTTCTTTAGGTTAGGATATGTAAAGAAAGTAGGGGTTTTAGAATTTATGAAAAGAAAGAATTTTTAAGATTTGAAAAAATTAAATTTTTATAATTTGCAAAATTGTTAGGGTTGAAAAAAATAGTTTGTTTTAGACCTTGCAATAAAATTGAATGATTTTGGGTTAGAAAAATAAATATTACTTTTAGGGTTTGCAAAAAAAGAATAATTTAGAGTTAGAAAAAATAGTTTGTTTTTAGGGTTTGCCAAAAAAAAAAGGTAATACTAGGAGTTAGAAAAAAAAATTTAATTTTCATGGATTTGGATTTTATTTTTAGGGTTTGACTAAGGGTTTTTAGGTTTACGAAAAAAAAAAGAGTTTATCATTAAAAAAAGGTTGTTAGAGAAAAATTAAATTCTTTAGGATTTTGCAAAAGGAATGATTTTTGGGGTAGAAAAAAAAATTTTTTTTTTACAAAATGAACAAATATTTCATGTTAAAAAAAGTTAGGATTTGCAGAAAGAAAAATTTTAGAGGTAAAAGGAAAATTAAAAATTGTGTAGGTTTATAAGAAAAGAAAAAGTTCTTAGGTTAGATAAACTAAGATTTGTAAGAAGAAAAACTTTTAATACAGACAAAAAAAAAACACATGAAGATATGATGAGTAAAAGAAAAAAGGAACAACAAAAGAAAAAGAAAATAGTAGTTCTTACCGAATGATAAAAAGAAGTGGATTATATTTTTGTTAACTCATTTGTTATGACTCAGAGTTTTTGGGTCGATTTTTCCTTCAAACTTCTAGATATGTTCTTTCCAATTGATCTCTAGGACTATGCTTTAACTCTCAGTTGATTTTTTTTCAACTCTTTCCTTTTTCTCTCTGTTTCTCGAGCTCTCTCTCTTGAATCTTCTCTTTCTCTTCGTTTCCTAAGCTTTTTCTCTGTGCTCTCAAAGTATCTCCGTAAAGAAAATAAAAAGTGTCCACTTCAAAGTCCCCTCCTCTGAAGACCTAAGCTTCCTATTTATAGGCATTTTCTAAAACTTTAGATCCTAATAAAGGCTCCCTTATTTTCCGATGACCAGTAATCAGTTTTTTTTTCTTTTTTATCCATTTTTCTAAAAATCTACTAACTACTTTGACCATTTCTAAATCTAATTTTACATTTAAAAATTAAAAATTTGAATTTAAATTTTAAATTAGTTCTTTTATCTATTTTCTTAACCTCTTAAAAAAGAAATTATTATATTCAATTTTTTATTTTAAAATTTATTTTTGACAAGGACCCGGATAAAATTGGGTATTCACAGTTGCCCCTCTTTAATTATTTTTTTACAAAATAATATGAATAATAAAATTTTTCATATTATTATAGTAAGAAATAAGTAAAGAAGTGAATTAATTTGATCTGTGGTCCTGTGTAACACAAGTATTGTATACGAGCCAAGTTTTGTGAAGGAGAACTAGTCAGGTTCTAGACATTGTGAAAATATAAAAAGTGTTAGTCAGATTCTGGACTTTGAGAAATATAAAGGTGTCAGTCAGATTCTGGACTTTGGAAACTTAAAAAGTGAAAGTGCTAGTCAGATTCTAGACTTTTGAAATATGTAAAGGTGCCAGTCAGATTCTGGACTTTGATAAATGTAAAAGTGCCAGTCAAATTCTGGACTTTAAAAAACGTAAAGGTGCCAGTCAGGTTCTGGACTTTAAAAAATGTAAAGGTGCCAGTCAGGTTCTGGACTTTGGAAAATGTAAATGTGCTAGTCAGATTATGGACTTTAAAAAATGTAAATGTGTCGATAAGATTTCAAGCTTTAACAAAAAATTAAAGATACAGATAGCTACTAAGCTTTGGTAGAACAATAAAGAACTCAGTCAAGGCCTACAAAATGAGGTATGTATAAGGCTCATAAGATGATTCAAACATGCAAGAGTATAAGATGAAAATAAAACATAGGCATGTGAGATAATAGGAAGCCTTGCGAGATCCAACTAGAATGAGAGTAAAGTTTATGAGGCATGAGTGATTGAATGAGCATATGGACCTTTAAGAAAAATTGGTATGAGTGCCTCTGAAATATGAAGCATGAGACTTGTGAATTGCAACAAGCACAACATTCTTTGATGCACAAAATACATGAAGCTTATGATTAAGTACATGTATTGGCTTAGGCCTCAGGGATGTATGAACACGGGTACTTGTAAGATGAATGGGCATTATAGCTTTTAAAACAAACTAACATAAAAGCCTAAAAGGTAAAATAGGCATTAGGCCTAAGATTACAATAGGCACTAAGTCCTTGGAGACGAAACGCACATAGAGACTTATGAGATAAACTTGCGTGAGGGCTTCATTGGTAAGCGAGTAAGAATAGACGCGCTAACCTATGAGGTACAATGAGCTTAGGAGTTCATAAGTATAAAACCTATGTAGGCACGAAGGCTTGCACGATAGGCAAGAGATAGATTTTTGAAATCAACAAGTATGAAAGCCTACAAAGTGGGTAGGTAAAAGTCTATCGAAGGCCACGGGCATAGAGACCTGTAAGAAAACACGTAAAAACTGATGAACTGAAATTACGTGAGGGATTAGTTGGTAAGTGAGTGAGGCCTGTAAGAATAAGCGTGCCAACCTATGAGGTACAATAAGCTTACACGTTCATAATCATAAAGGTCAAAGGAATTTAATAAGCATAAAACCTATGTAAGCACGAAAGCTTGCACGATAGACAAAAGATAGATTTTTAAAAGTAATAAGCATGAAAGGCTATAAGGTGGGTAGGTAAGAGTCTATTAGATGTCATGAGCATAGAGACCTATTAGATTAGGAAAGCACGAGAACCTATGAGGTCTATGTAGAAGCATAAAGTTTGTAAGATAGAGAAGGTCTAGATACCTATGGATAAAAGTAAGCATGAGGACTTAACACTAGAGCCTAACAAGTGCAGGCATGATGGCTTATGAGATACAAAAAGCATGAAGCTATGAGGTAAGTACGTGAAAAAGCTTATGAGATGTAGCAAGCATGAAAGTCTATGAAAAAACACGATATCTTATGAGACATAATGGGTATAAAGGCCTATGAGGTGAGTAGATGTGAGACATATTAAGTGGCGTAAACACCAAAACTATTAGAACAAGCATGCTAACCTATGATGTGCAATCTTAGGAATGCATATGCACAGAAGCCTAATTAGGCATATGTCCTAG